ATTTCCTTGGCGTCAATCAGCCTGAGGTCACGCACGTTGTTCTGCTGGCCGCGTTCATACAGAGCCTGCAGGCGTGGGATCTCCTCCTGCTCCACTGCCACAATCAGCTGCCAGCAGGGCAAGAGCAGTCAGTGCAACACTACTTGGGAAAGACGGAACTTCACAAAGATTCCGTCTCTCCCCGTGTCAGTTCTATGACAGATGAGGTACAAGATTCTTCTTTTACGATAGTAATGGAAACACACAGAATTACATGGCTTTTCACCGACGTACACATGCCATGAGCTCGACAGAAACATGGCAAGTTCTATACTCTGAAATAGTCATAGGAAACCACAACATTAAGAACCCAGGACAATTATGAAGTTCAAGTTTGCAGGCATTTTCCCCATTACAAATTTATGCAAGCATGACTCGACTATATACTTCAGTTACTTCATTTGATTAAGCAGGCAAAAAATTTGATCTATCCTTAGATGTTTTCTATATTTACCACCATTTATAAGGCAAGGACTGAACAAGACCCCTTTAGAAGGACACTGTATTAAAGGGAGAGGTTTTTGCTGATGCAGCTACCTAGAACCACTGTATTAAAGGATGCTTCGACATCTAGAAAAGCATCAGTTCTCTTAATAATCCTGTTGTTTACTCAGGCCTGGAACTCATCCTACAGCATGAGGAGTCCTTTAACAATTCACAGCATGAACAGACAACCTGAACTCGTTCTCTTCAGACCGTAGACTAAATCCATCCAGCACACCAACCTTGCAAACTCAGTGTTTTTCAGGAAAACCTACAGGCTTACAGAATGTTGAAATACGCTTTCCTGTTTCATAATTTAGATCTGAGCATTCAAATGTTGCAAGGGGTAGGTGGAACTGGTGTACGAGGAGTTGTACATCAGCACTGAATCAAATCCTTCCTTTTAAATTCTGAAGAACATTCAGCACTAACAAAAGCAAAGACAGATAATACCTTGCAGCATTCAACAGCTCTTCCCCTATCACACGTTATACCCTCCCCCAGTCTGGTGCCCACCTTGCCACACTGCCTGTAGGGCACGCCCTTCTTCTCACAGTATTCATACGTCAAAGTAGCGCCTCGCACACAAAGCTTAGCCTTCAGAGACCCCGGCTTGTAGTAAATCCCACTGTGGATCACCCCACTGTTGTGTCCACTCTGGTGAAATGCTGAAAGACATGAGAAAACAGTGAACCTGCAAAACACTTGTGTCGGAATTTTGGCTACAATACGGCATATTTTGTACCCAAAACATGAATGCTAGAAGCTACATGGTTTGTTTTCAGAGTAAACAGCACTCCTGTGATTCAGCTGTATCTGGTATAACTAGAACAGAACGATCTTCTATCACAGTGATAACAGAGTATTTGGTGAAATGGACGTGACCATTTGAAAACATTTCCTCTTCCCTTTGGGCAGTGACAGTACATGCCAGCAGACGCCATGCCAGTTCAGTGGAACCATCATCTGTGCCCATGATGGGACTGTTTGTGTGGAAGGCCTGTGTGTATTTGTTCAGCGTCTCCTGTCTTCGCCCACAGGAGAGTGCACCCCAGCACACACGCACGGCATCCCAGTTCTCCACAGCGCAAAGCTGTCACAAAACAGCTATTTAAACAATCCGACTATAGAACATACCCCCCCCCCGACACCGTGCCCCCAGGCTCCCCTCCAACCCCGAGAGCAGCGCCGCGGGCAGAGAGTGGACGCCCTATCCCAGTAACTCTGCAAGGCACTCTACCCAGTTCCTTCTCCTTCTCCAGGACGACGAAGCTCAGAGCGGGGTGCCTCAGGATGAGCTCCCGCGCGGTGGCCAGCCCCACAATGCCACCTCCAACCACCGCCACGTCACAGGTCCTGCAACACACGGAAACCAGCACTGAGAAGCTGGGCCTTCGCTGTTCACCTGCTGTCAGCATGTTTCGGAGGAATATTACAGTTTTCTGAAAGCCAGCGGCATCTTTGGAATTTTATCTCTTTAGCACAAGCAGAAATTATGTCGGCTTAACACCTGGGAATGAATTAGCTGTCAACCCTGTTTCAGACTGAAGAAAAAAAAAAGTATGGTGCTTAACTCATTCTTATTGCCTGTTAACAGAACAGAACCCTTTTATTATTCTCAATGACTCATTTACTTAATCCTTCCACCTGAAGTGCCAAGAGGAGACAATGAAAAATCACCAATATTTTCCCCAACAGTGCTTTTTCATAAAGGTACTAAAGCCCGTGTTAATTCAGAACTTCCTCCCAATCACAAATTCCTGGAACGTCATTTGATGGTGGCTTTCTCTTTATGAGAAACATCTGATGTCAACTTAATAGAAGGAACATAAGAAAAGATACAGACAAGAGGAGACCATTTAATAAGTCAGTAGTTAACTGATACCCTGCTGGTTGTTGAAAGAACCCAGGGTAACAGTTTCAACAACATAACAACATGGCTGGGCAGCAGCTTGTTCCCTACTACCACATCTCTTTGGGTAAAGGGAAAGCCTCCCACACTATGCACTATCGTATGGTTTTCAATTGTGTCCTCTGGTTTACGTTTCACTATAGACTCTGAATATGTTTGCAGATAACAGCCATCAGTGGCTTTCACCATTCGACAAATACTGTTAGAGGCCAGTCATAATTCTTTGCTTTGCAAATTGAAAATAAATGAAAAGATCCTAGAAAACAGTCAGGAATCTAAGGAGACCACATGCATTTCTTTTAGCGATCCCCATTTTTCACACAGCAACAATAAATGAATGTGGCAACAGATCTGCCTGCATAACGTGAGTGTTTGCAATTACACCAGTTTCTTAAGGTTGCTTAAACGTTGCAATAGATTTAGTTCTCATGGCTCAAAGGCTATCTAATACCTTTTACAACGCCAATCATTATCTTTAAAGAAAGAACCTTTTCTTTCCAGTACAGATAAGTATACTGCATTCTTTTCCTTTAAGCAGTCACAACATTATAGGTCTACATATTGTTGTACTGTGTTAAACACAGCACTATTTAACAATGTTTTCTTTTACCTATTCATGTTACACCTAAGCTTAATGGCCAGTTTCACCAAGAGTTATATTTCAAACAAGCAGCTTAAGACCTAATCTCTGCATTGGTGGAGACAAATACAGCTCCCATTTCCTCTAGTAATTACCATGTGCCAACTGAACATGATGCGTTGACCCTGAGAGTGACAAGACAATCCAGTTTTCTCCAAGTATTTATTTGACTTACCTCGAACTGAGCAGTTTCAGTAGTTGGATACTAGTGAGCACCAAAATATATGACAGATCTTTCTAAAATTGTACAATTCAACCACATAATCCTTTGATTATATAATGACATCCTTTTAGCTTTCAAGTGTTCCGACTGAGAAATAGTTGAAATTCTGGATAATCCAATCAGCACGTACAGATTCACTTATAGATGGAATAACTAGAATACACTGATTAAAACTTAAACACCCGAGTTAAGAAAGTCATTAGAACACCAGGAGCTTAATGTAAAATGACCACATGCTATATATTATATGGTCTACCATAAAAATAGATGTGTTAAAGTCTGTATAAGAGAGACATGATTGGGGATTGGGGATTTATGACCAGCAGCCATATCACCCTGCAACTCACAACTGGCAACACACTGAAGCTCAGCAGGTGTGAGCCTGATTAGTACCTGGATGGGAGACCTCCTGGAAAAAACTAAGGTTGCTGCTGGAAGAGGTGTTAGTGGGGCCAGCAGGGGGTGCTCACCCTGCGGTCCATGTTGGTCCTAATGCCCCAGTATAGTGACGGGGACACTATACTGTAAACACTGATAGCTGATGTGTGGTGAGCGTTCTGGCGCACTATGGCTGCTGTCGCATCATCCAGGTGGATGCTGCACATTGGGGGTTGTGGAGGGGATTCCCCATTACCTGTAAAGTGCTTTGAGTGGAGTGTCCAGAAAAGCACTATATAAGTGTAAGCAATTATTATTATTTACTTGAAATCACTTAAGTTACCTCCCTTACAGGCTGACCGGATACCTGATTGTCCTAGCAATGGTCATCATTGACAGGAATCAACAAGTGGAGAATACCTTCAAATTCCAGGATGTGGCCACATACTACACACAATGAGTAGCAGATTTTAGTTTTATAAAGACAGTAACTCTATGTAACGGCTCTACATTAAAAAATAGTACTTTATTATACTAAATAATACATGCAGTATAATTACTACCCAAGGAGTTATTATGTCGTTACATCACATTGTGCCACAGCCAAAATATTAAATCACTGTGGATATACAGTAAGCGACCAACTGCCCTAATGATCCAAGACAAATTAATCTGGAAACCCTGGGTTCTGTTTTTATTATTAATTTATTATTCAGCAAAGTAAGTGAGTAAGGATTAGATTCCCTGTCCTGAACTTTAAACACGGAACGAATCTCAGTAAACAAGCGGGCTTATCAGACAATCAAAGATCTTATCCCTAGTGACCCTGAAATGTACGTTTCAACGAGAGTAGGACAATACAAAACTGAACTTTCACCTTGGCTTGAAGCCAGAATGAAGGTAGCCCACTGCTTACTAAACCTGTTATAGTAACGTGGGGCACTTCACATCCAGTTCCTCCATTTTCTACTATCACCTGTTTGTCTGCCTTTACATGTGCTAACGTCTCGGTCCAACCGTGCATAAATACTGTCTTCTTTAATTAGTGTAATGAAAGTCATAGTCACGGAAAAAAAACCCTGCAAAAAGCACAACTTAGAACTTTCCCTTTAGAACAAAACAGAAAATAACGTGCCTGCACATATATTTCTAGAACCAGGATAGTTGCTTTTCAATGCCTTGACACTGCGTTATATAACCCAATCCTATATTATCCACGGCAGTACAACCGTAAAATGGCAAAGTCTCACCTGTGCTTGTGTCTGATACTGCTGTATATAATGCTCTTCGCCGACTTGTTTCCATGTCTTGCAAGCAGTGCTACAACGGAGGCGAGGCTGCTTCCAGATCGAATCATTATTTAACCTGGTGAATGCTTAGCTTTCACCGTCTCACCCGAAAGCACTACAGCAAAAAGCCAGGAGGTTCTTCGGGTTCGTTCAGCTGCCTTTTGAAAACAGAACACGCGTCTCCGCCCTCTGACCTCTCACACGAGCAAAACACTGTCTCGGCCAATAGCTGATGGTTATGATGACGCAAACGGGGTTAAAGGTCACATTACAACGTGGTCTCTGTAAATATCGTCCGTTGGCCTGTGGAAGAAGAGAAGGTGAGTGTTATACTTGTTTGTTGACAGTACAGAGCGCACAAGTTAGTGACATATTAAAAGGTCGAATGTTTAATTTCCTTGTTTTTCTTCCATTAAAAGATTCATTTACAATGCTAGAAAGTGTGGGTCGGATTAAAGTTGCATCATGATGTTCTAGCTAAAATAACTGACGAAGGTTCAATCTACAATCGGTATTTACCCTATAAAGTGAAAGTAAACGATATTTGAAGGAATTAATATTTACTGGATCTAATACACGACGTCTTTAATATGATAGTAATGGCGAGATACGCTGTTACAAACCGTGAAGAAGGTTTTAGGTTAAGTACGAAAATAGCAATAGTATTTAGAATATAAATGATATAACTATAATGAAATAAATATGCCAGTCATAATATTTTGCGATAGCTTCAATCAATAAGCACATTTCAAACGCTGTCCCTTACGCCAGTACATTATTTACAACGTGACGAAAAGAAAAATATGTAAATTCCAATTTCAGTATTAAACTTCCTTTCGCATACAGTATTACAACAGAGTCTGCGTCCAAATGCCAGAGCAGTCCGACTTCAACGAGACAAATGCCGTTTGCAGAGTTTTGCGTGTAGTTAGCAAAACATAAACACTCAGAATAAGGTAACCGCTGAGCGTTACAGTACAAACGTTCCCCCACCGCCCAAAGTTGCTTAGATTATTCTTCCATCTGCAAACAGTGTACAGTTTGCTAATGATAAAAAAATATATAATTTTGTAAGAACTCTTAAACCATAATTGCTTTAAAAATTAGCATATTTAGTTGGTGATAACAAAAAAACAAACAAACAGCAGGGTACAGGACAGAAGGAATATATACCATAATGAACAACTATTTACAGTATACAGTACATCATCAACTCCTTTCACATCTTCAGGGGTCTGTAACTGTTTCATGTTCTCTTTCTTTTTCTTTTCCCGTTTACAACTGTATTTTGTGCAATATATGCCAGGGACCTGTGCAATACATTTACATCTATATTTCTATCTATATCTATATTGACATCTATATTTATATTCATATGTGTGATACGATTTTTCTGTGTACTGTTCTGTTCTAGTCTGTTCTTTGTGTGTCCGGACTGTGAGTAACTCTTGTATTGTATTGTATTGTATGTATTGTACTATTATTATATAATTTGTTACACTGTGGCTGTGTTGTCTGTGTGAAGCTGCTGTTGCACTGCAATTTCCCTCACGGGATCAATAAAGTATCTATGATAAAAGTTGCACTGTTTTCAGGGTGACGCTATGCAGCTCTTGGCCCAGACAGGCCAGCGGTGTCTTGCTTTATGGAAGACACCTTGTCTGAGTAGCAGCCGGCAGTTCTGGGGATGGCTGAATGCTGTGTTTAACAAGTAAGCACCAGCTGGCCTCCTGCATTCTTTTCTGTACTAAACACACGCATTCACATAATGCCTGACACACCCACCTCATTCTTTAGAATCTGGAGTCCCTTTGTCTAAAAATTGAATCACAACAGTTAACAGCAACCTATTTGTGTCCTCTCTACTTATCTGTAAGCTTAAAAGCTCATTTATGTATACAAAATACACATCTGCCCACATCAGGATAAACATACTTAAAATATACATATACATTCCAGTGTACCTCCATATAATTGTAGGGAATATTGGAAATTATTAGTCTATAGGCCTGTGCTGGATCTGTTTTTAAACACTGACACATGATTTGAAATGAGAATGTGTTACCTGGGAGTTGAGATTGTCTATTTACCCAGTGCTTAATGTCTTAGCTCTTATGGGTAAAACTCTTCTACTGTAGGTAGTATCCTATGAAGCTAGATCCTATTGTCTTTTGTGCACTGTCAAAGGGCCTGAGGTGGCAAATTGGATGAGTGTGTGTGATTGAGGGCAGTGGGGTGAGGAAGTATTGCTTGGGCTGCATAAAAATATTTTCTTGGCTTTATCTTATTTTGGAGGAAAAGAAGTCCTCACATAAAACACGAGAATACACAGTTGCAAAGCTGCTCCAATAACTATTATGGAATAAACTACCTGAAGGCAATTTTCATACTAGCCACTAGATGCCACTCGAGTTTCAAGATACACATGTAGAATATAATTAGTACTGAGTTCAATATGCATGAAGTGAGTGATCTCTCATGTATCTACATAAAACACTGCTGCCATTAAAATCCTCACGAAGCTCTTCAGCGTTTTGTCGACTTCCCCGCAGGGTGGATTATGAGAGGATCAAGGCGTTGGGTCCTGACCGTGCAGCCTCCGAGTGGCTCCTGCGCTGTGGGGCAAAAGTGCGCTACCAGGGCTTCGATCGCTGGCAGCACGACTACAATGCCCTGCCCACTGGCCCTCTGGGCAAATTCAAGATCCAGGCCATCGACGCGACAGAGTCCTGCATCATGTATCGAGGATTTGACCACCTGGGTGAGGGATGCGTGCGTGCAGGGAGCACAGACTCCAGCACCACCTACGGCACATTCCACACGGTCACGTTCTCGGGTACAAGGCATAGGCACAAATGCACTTGCAAAACTCTCTTCAGATGGTTTTAAGGTTGTATTCACCTATGTTCGGGCAAGACCTGCTAATTGCACCTCATGCTATAGTTTCAATTAATCTCACCTGCTAATTTTCTCTTTAGCACCTTTAAAACTGTCTCCTTAAAAGGTCCAGAAGACCACAAAAAGGTGAGTTTAAAAGAGCTGAAATGAAGTCAGTTGGCAGAGCTGTGATTATCAGGTGTCACCTGGCTGAATAGTGACAAATACAAATTTAAAACTGAAGAGCACTGGCAAATGTACAGTGTTCTAAAATGTCTCAAGCTATAGCCTTCTTCTTTAAACATTCTCTTCATGGATTAATAGATCCATCACTAAAATGCCTGTTGTAAATTGAACAGGCCTAATTTCCTGTGCTGTAAGTGACTGAGCTTTAAAATGTATACTCACTGGTGTCAAGCTTCGAGCTAGCAAGTGAAAGTGGAGGACTCGAGCCGTGTAAATCTAGCCGAGGCTGTTTACTTGCGTATTACGTAAGTGAAGATAAAGTTTTCAGCTGCCCTTCGGAGAGAAGTCGGGTATTCGGTTGACAGTGAAAGTGAGCCAGTCTATTGAGCCTGTCACAGCGTGCAAGACCATATTTCAGAGGAAAGGACTTGCTGTATATAAAGCACACACTTTTAAACAAAGGAAGAAGACTTTGCTGCATGTTAACCTTTTGGAATCTTGTTAAAAAATATTGACAGTCTGGTTGTCATATACAAGACGATGAAAGCAAAGTAATACGAATTATAATATTACTGGACTTGGTGTTGCATGTGCAGTCACATAACGTACCCATCCTTGTGTGTCGTATTTGTAGTCAATGTGGATATGAACAGTTTTCTGGAATAATTTGCAGAATAATTTTAACCACCTGTTTTATTTCTAGATGGTCTAAAACATCTTGAAGAGATTAAGTTCCACAAGTGTATCTACATAGAGGATGTGTGTTTGGAGAGACTGAGCCGAATCGAGAACCTTCAGGCCAGTCTGAGGTGCGTGGAGGTGGTGTCATGTGGCAATGTGACTGACAGGGGCATCATTGCCCTGCATCACCTCAGGTAGGCACATGTGTCAAGGAAGGTACCAACTCTTTCCTCTGGTTTCATTCGCCAGCTTCAGCAGTGGTTTCTATTAACCTAATAAAAAGAGAATGTGAGGCTTTTTGTCTCAAGTTAAATTTAAGCCAACTATCAGTCTAATGAAGGACAAGTAAGTCATTCAGACACGCCACAGTAAAAAAAACAATTTAGACAATTAGTATAATTAAATTAAGAAACAACAAAGGTTGATTACAAAGGTTTTTTTGGGGGGGTTGACAACTTCAAACAAAGGCATTCATAATTTAAATGTGTGCAAGAGACCTTTCAGGCCCTAATGTGTGTATATTCCAATTACAGTTTTTATTCTGCAATGAAAAATAAACATGTTGTTTACAACAGGAATCTGGAACGTCTGTTTCTCAGCGACCTACCTGGAATGAAGGAGAAAGATAAGACAGTTCAAACTCTGCTGACAGCTCTACCTAACCTTGCCATTGAGCTAGACTTAGACTAATAGCTAAGCTACACTATACAAAAAGGTTGTACAGACTGTAACATGGCAGAACACAACTATAGGGACTGTATGGGATCCAGCATGGACATGAATGCAGAGCAACTGCAAATGGGAGCATACTGTACAACCACTGGATTCATGTGGAGTTTTGGCCAAGCAAAGCAATTGAAAGCTCTAATTTCTTCCATTGATGGTGGACCCTGTGAAGCACTCTGAAATAATGAAAGGTAAAATAAGCCTTTTAACATCACTTTATTAAAACCATTCTCCAAACCTGAAAAGATTTTTCTACCATCTTTATTTTTCCAAAAACGTATTAAATAATTTTAAAAAAGTAATACAAAAATGTACAACAAAAAATGGGTGCACACGTTATATATACTGTACATACATAAGGCAGGCTAGGAGTTACAGTAGTTGACGTCCGCTGGCTTATACAAGAGGCCAAATGAATTTTCAAAATTTGGCATTTAGTGGATTCATTAAAAGGAAAGGAAAATGGGAGGTTGTTTTGAAAAGCTGGGTGTCACCAGTTCCTTTTTCTTCCTCTACCCTCTGACACTATAATTGTCGGTTGTTGGTCAGCTCTGCCTGTAGCAATGAGGACTGAGGGTGCTCTCTTCTGACACATCCACCAGTGAGCATAGTTATTTCTGTGCATTGCAAACTCCACATTGCCTACCGGGAGAGTTGGCACTAACTGGAGGAGCCCAAAACCGCATGAGTCCCTGCTGGTCGACAATCTGATGACACTCCAGCTGGTGCAAGTTCATCTAATCTTGACTGGCTTGACTCGGCCGATTGCACACAGCTCCTGGGAAAATCCTATCAAGGTCAGCTAACGTCATAACATAGGCCAGTCATGGGCCCAGGACCATACCTTACAAGTGCTGTAAATAATAGAGGGGGTTGAATACTGAAAAGAGCAAGTACAGCAAAAAACTTCATTATCTCAAGTTAAAAAGTAAGAGAGCTGCTCTGAGAGAGACCACACATTTGTTGCATTTTCTCACAACAGGTGTGATACTTAGATTTTTTTACACAACATTTTGGCATAGATTCACCGTGGGATGAAAAACCCACAAATCACAAAATACAAATGGGGGGGGGTTTAGGTGAAATTTAGTAAACACAAAAACCTAACTGTACTACATTATTATGGTTTCATAAATTCATAACATCTAAAACAATGAGATTGATACTTCCACAGTGAAACATAACGTCAAGGCTCATTATTCCTTATTGAAATCCGTTTTGGCAAATTGGGAAAGGCAGTAAGGTTGAATTTTGCCCAATTTTGCATATTAATCTAGTAGCAGAACAGCATTACTGTACCTTGTCAATATACTGTACATACATGCAGAACAAAGTCAAGATGACAAAACCACAGAAAACAAAATCGGTAGAAAAGCTTTTTTCAGTGCATAGAATGACATCACCTGATCACACAGCACACCTGGAACCCTTAGCATTCTTAAAGCTGCTTGCCACTTGTGAAACTGGAACCACCTTGCCGGTTGCATTTGTTTTTAAGACAATCCTGTTTTTTCCTGCAAGTCTCTCAGTCCCCTCGGGTTTATGAGCTGTAACTTCAGATGTTAGGAAAGTGGTAGTTAAACTTCCGTAAGTTGTAGAATTTTTTGTTGTCCAAGGATGGGAAAATATTGCTGCCAGTCAGCTGAGGCAAATACTGAAAAGAGAGTGACATCAAAAGCTTTAAATTCTTTTTCTGCAGTTCATATCCCTGTTAGATGACCTCAAGACCACTGAATGGACTAATTAACATCAGTCATGTTTGTTGACTGTGACTGAACGCTGTCTTTTTGCTGGACAGTTGCAAAAGTCAACTTGTTTGCCTAAAACAGAATGTTTCCAACACAAAACTGTTAAAACACAGCACAGGAGGTTTCACATTTGCTTCATGTATTGCAAAATGATGCTTTTAGGTAGATTACATCCTGAACAATGAGTGTGTAATGTGTTCTGTAGTGTATACGTTATATTCCTCAGGCTGGAGCTAGAACAGCATTAGTGGAGCATAAAGAGTTATTCTGTAGTTAAATGGTTGTTTCGGAGTGATCCGGATTTAATTGGGTAAGACTTTGAAGACAGGTGGCTGTAATTTATATCTCTTAATTGGCACTCTGCAAAATGTTTCCAGGATTTACTTTTTGTAAATACAGCAACAAAATTAAATTGAAGCACTACATCGGAATACCCCAATATCTAACGCAGGGAAACAACTCCTGTTTCTTCTACAAAAACGTAGATGTGTCCCGGGGTCTCGGGGCAGGACACCCTGCCGTGACTCACCCCGGGCGGGAGGTGCTTGCGGGGCAGCCTGGCCCTCCTCCGGGCCGCGCGGTCCTGGTCCCGCGTGGCGGCCTCCCTCTCCTCTCGCTGGCTGTCGAAGTAAGGGTGCTCCAGGAGCTGCTCGCAGGTCAGTCGCTCGGCCGGGTCCATCCGCAGGCAGCCCTGCCGGACGGGGCAGTCAGCTGAGCTCACAACTTAAAAACCTAGTGCTGGAGGGCTGGGGAGCTTCCTCCTCAGTTATAATAACTCTTTACACTTACATAGCGCTTTCCCACACACCAGCTATCAGTGGGGAAGAGAACAGAGTGATGAAGCCAGTTCAGAGATGGGGATTACTAGGAGGCTGTGACTGATAAAGGCCAGGGGGAAATTTGGCCAGGACACCGGGGTTACACCCCTACTCTTTTCGAGAAACGCCCTGGGATTTTTAGTGACCACGGAGAGTCAGGACCTCGGGTTTTACATCTCATCTGAAGGATGGCGTCTTTTTACAGTATAGTGTCCCCGTCACTTTACTGGGGCATTAGGACCCACATGGACCACAGGGAGAGCACCCCCTGCTGGCCCCATTTACACTGCTTCCAGCAGCAACCTTAGCATTACTAAGGAGGTCTCCCTCCCTTCAGGCTCATACCTGCTGAACTTCAGTGGGCTGCCAGTTGTGAGTTGCAGGGTGATACGTCTGCTGGCATTGAAATGTTCTTTTAATGACTTTATTTAACCATCACCTGTTTAGCTGAACCTCACTGGAATTGTTCCTTATCTGTAGAAAGTGGTGATGTAGTGGTGACCAGGAGCAGGGTTGGAGATCCCCACTCTAGAGGTGGTGAAGCTGCCAGTCCACAGCTGCTACGATACACTGTACCCCTAAGTCAGACCTCCGAGATCAGACCACACTACACCTTCGTTAGTATTTCAGCATCATCTTACCTTCATTAAACCCAGGGCTTGATATGACAGATTAGGATATTTCATTTCCAATGGTTCCTATAGAACACAAAAGTGAGAGTTAGCACAAGTTAAAATCTACAGAATACACACAGTCCCAGGCTAAATTCTGGATTTTACTACAGATACGGTATATATGCATGGAACATGAATATAAATACTAGTGTAAGGAATTGATTCTTTTTTAAAACACTAATGGGAAATTCCAGCAATTCAGGTCATCTTGTACACGCTCTGTATCCCAGTTAAATGTTCAAATCTGCAAATAGGCATTTTAAGTTCCAAAATCTACCCATAATCATTTAAAACAAAGTGAGGACAATTTTCCTAGATAACACTCTGAAAGTTGTCAAATCTGCCCTTTATTATATGCTGTAAGCCAGATCAGGAAATTAAGATTTCAGATGGCATTATAGAAAAGATGATTTTACAGGTGTGTTAATACAGACACACCCAGTGTATTCTCACCATTTCCTCTGGCTCTGGGATGCTCACTCCACTGAAGAACTGGTTGTTACTAAACACTTGCTGATGCCGGGGGATGAGATCACCTGTGAACACAAGGCCAGCACTTCAGAATGCCCTGGCTGGGAGGCACTGCACTGCAGATGGTGCTTTTCTCTTTGGAAGTAATTGGCTGTTTTACTAGTGCTCTAAAGAAGGAACCCTGCAGCTGCTATTTGCTGTACCTGTATAAATGCATATAAACCTGTTGTGCTGCTTTGTTTTTTATAGGTGTTGCTTTCTACACATTCAAGTTGTAATAAGTTATTCAGAGACTTTTTTTCCCCAGCACAAATGGTACTTTCTCTACAATGTGGTAAAACTGCATGTTGATGATTTAGAAGGAAAAGTGGACACTGGCTTGCTCTCATGTACAGGGTCCGATTCTGGACTGGAGTCTTCACGTTACTCCAATGCTCACTAAGTGACTCTAGGCTGTGCCTGTGCAGTATACTGTATATGTGTGTGTGTGTACCTGGGCTTTGTGCCCTGAACCAGACAAGATCCAGGTTGCTATGACCCTCATTAGCAACTAGCATCTTCGTGATGATGGATACATGTCAGATGTGTTGTAAGCATTTTTCCCCAATGTCTAAGCAGAGAGAAATGTCTATAGTTCTTAAAGGACATGTGCTCAGTTACAGCTTACACATGGCATTCATTTTAGATCAATGGAATGTGGCTATATTGTATAGATATACAGTTTCCACAATACTAAACACACCATCATAAAACCAAGTACCTGATCATTTTGTCATTATTTTATTCTTTGATTATTTTTACCTAAGGTGACTAAATGGTTGAAACTCTTAAGGCAGGAGGAAAACATGAATTACAGACACCAACATATTGTAAAATTAACTGCAGTATATAACATAGTATAAATTGTGGAATGTAACCACTTTGTTTCAAGACTGTGTGTGTTAATGGTCATTTTTTTCCTGTACTGTGAACTCTACGCAGTGTAAATAATAAAATTTTTCCCTGAATCTCTAAATGTTAAATCTATTTGAGTGGGATGCTGCTCCACCAATCACCCTTAAAGAGCTGTGCTCACCCAATGTTTTTCTGATGAGATATAGCTGATCCACATCTGATTTGCCTGGCCACAGGGGGGCACCAGACAGCAGCTCAGCAAAGACGCAGCCGATTGCCCAGACATCCACTGGTGGGCCGTACTGAGTGTCGCCAACCAACAGCTCCGGCGCACGATACCAGCGCGTGGCCACGTAGTCAGTGTAGTAGTCACAGGGGCCAGCTGTGGGGACAAAGCAGCCCTAAGCAAGGCCAGAAAACTCTTTCCCACTGACAGGTTCGAAAGATGGGGATACTGCTTTGCTCTGTACTCAAGGTAAAAAAAACAGCTTTGTGAATTGTTGAAAAGACAGGACGTTCTGCACACGTTCCCCCTTCCATCCATCCATTTTCTAACTACTTCCAATTAAGGAGCTGGAGCCTGTTGTGGCAAACAAAGGGTTTAAGGCAGGGTATACCCTGGAAGAGATGCCAGACCATAGAAGGGAAAACACACACTGGGGCCAATTTTCCCATGAGCCAATTATCCAATCGGCATGTGTTTGGACTGTGGGAGTAAACCCATGTGAACGTGGGGAGAACATGCAAACTCCACCCTCACAGATAGCACCCCAGGATGAACCCAGGCTCCAGCGCTGGCAAGGCAGCAATGCTAACAACTGCTCCACTGTGCTACCCACACTCCCTTTTATTATTAAACCAAACAAAAATATTGGAATTTGCATACCCAGATGACGAGAATTACTTTGAAGTTCCTTTGAAATCAGATCTGATTTCCTGAAGCAAATTACTGCTGGCCAACTAGTACATTTTTAAAGAGACTTCCCTTATTTGAAGAGGTAAGTTCCCAGGAGTCACTGCAACCCCTTCTCTGTTGGTTTTTGAATGGAATAATCAACTCAAACAACTTTGAATATAGACTGGGGTATAACATATTCCAAAGCAACCAGGAGCATTAGTTATAATTTTAAAATGATTTTCCTTCTAATCGATTAGTCTTTTAGTTTAAAAGTGAAGGGAAAGTATTGGAATTTCAAAATGTTCAAATGTTTGCTTAGCTCTGTATAGATTTTCAACTATGTACATTTTAAAACTGTTTTAAAAACATTTGTAAAACTACATATCCATTAGCAGTACCGTAGTATGAAACTTCTCTTGCCTCAGCTAAAGATAAAATAAATTAGATGTTAAATCAATAGTATTAACATTGATGTGTATGTTTTAAAATTTACAACTAAGCAGTACAAAAATGTTTGCATATATTCACTTTTTGTTTAAATGGCATCCTAAAAAAGTATTCCTTCTTAAAAAAAAAACAATATACCTGCTCAGGATTTGGTGTAAACCTTCAGAAATCTTATCTGAGTGCTATTAATATCTGGACACAATAATCACAAAAAGTGACTAATAGTAGAAACAAAAACTGAAACAATTACATGAAAATTGTTTAAACTTACTCAGAATCCTGGCAAATCCAAAGTCACACAATTTAATGACCTGGTGTTTCGTAATTAGGATATTTTCTGGCTTTACATCCCTGTGAATGCACTGCGGAGCAGAAAAAGAAAAATTATTGGCTATCCGTGCTGGTCAGATTTGTACCATTTGCATGATTGTAAAATATACAGCATGGAACTTCCCATTTTCTGAAGCATGAAATGAAATACGAACTTAAGTCTTGAGGTCAAAATGTGTACTTGGAAGGCAACAAATGGTATAGAACCGCCACAAGCTGTACATTAGCTGCACCACCAATGTGAAGGCAATCATTTCCTACAGAATCCTAGGGTGCTTCATTGCAGAGAAAAGTTAACTACATGAACTAACACTCGGTGTCACTGTGGTAGCTCAAGTACCACGATTGAAAAAATAACACTCATTCTTCCATTCATTTTCCAACTGCTTCTTCCAGTTCAGGGCCACAGGGGAGCCTGAGCTTATCCTGGCAAGCAATGGCGCAAGACAGGATATATCCTGGATGGAAAACCAGTCCATCTCAGAGCAGACACACAGATACAAACAGAAGCAAACTAACCTAACCAGTATGTTTTTGGAATGTGGGAAGAAACTGGAGCACCCAGAGGAAACACATGCAAGCCCTGGGGGGGCAACATACAAACTCCACGCAGATAGCACCCTGGGTTCGGAACTGAACCCAGGGCCCCAGTTCTGTGAGGCAGCAGTGCTAACCACTGTGCCATCGTGCTGCCCAACAGTACTCGCACCCTGTGGAAACGGACGCTATGTGCTACGTTCATACAAGAGATAATGCAGGACTCACATTCTGTTTGTGACAAAAGTTTACAGCCTGGAGGGTCTGCCAAGTTATGCTCTTCACCAGATGTTCTGGAACCCTGAGAAAATTGATCAGCATGTGACAGCAGGAACAAAACACACAGGCCATTAGTTCTCTTTGAGTCTTGAGCCTTGGTCCACATAACTGTTGTTAGAAACAGATTTGGAGGGTGAATACTACAATGTCTTAATATTGCTCAGCTTTAAGACAAAGGAGGATGGTATTGGACATGAACATACATTCTTTATCTCAAGTGAAAGAGTTAAATCCCACTACTTGAATAGTACAAGCTGTTTGAAAGTACCAGATCATTGTTCTGATGCAAAGGAAGTGAGATTTTTTCATTATTTGGTCTACTCGCTGTATTTCTTTTTTATGACCCGAACAGCATACACACACACCAAAATAAATAATAAAATGGTCAGATTGAGAGCTGTATTTCAGTTTTATACTGAATTGCACAAAGGGGACTTTAAAGCTGTAGCACAGATGTAGTAAACATCTACAATTAAAAAGGTACCCGTGGGATTTGCAGAGACTGTAAAAGACTACTATGAAAGGCAGGGAAAAAAAGAAAGTTTGCAAGGTCATTAAGTTTTATGCGTTTTTTTTTTCTGGGAACTGCTCGACTGAGGAAAGGCTGTCTGGCACAGTAATTTCTAACTCGTTCCATTCACCTTCCTCTAACTTCCATATAAAAAGCCTTTAGGGTGCAGTCTGCAGTCTTAAGAAAGATCTGAGGCTTGGGTGATAAATTGAGAGTCAGTGCTGCCACGCATCACTTCACAGGCAATCCAGAGACACACCTGCTGACGATTTGGCATGTCACCTGCTGTGCATGCCAAGCAACAAATGAGAAGTTTTACTTAACCAGCTCTGGGTAAAACAAATACTATTTATGTATGTCTGTTTAGACCAAGTCCTTATAAATGCTAATTTCAGTTTTTGTCCTAGACTCAGGGGCATATGGTAGGAGCTCATTGTCATATTTACTGCAAAAATAATGATTCCTATGATTTGAACAACCTAGCAAGCAAGCACACTACCAAGCAAGCACACTGTGTATATATACGGTTTGCTGTATCCAAACCTCAATGAACAACACATGGTTGAAGAATAGCTTGTTTACTTCCTGGTACCAATCGCTTTTCACTGTGACAATTCTCGAATCTGATTTACAGTCAGTGTAAATTGGTATAAACTCACATTCTGGTAGTGTTTTCTGCAATTTCTGTTCTTCGGTTGTTTTTGACAAAGAATATGAAAGGACAGATACTAAGCAAACTTTCGCAACCCAAAACTGCCTTTCCTTGATGAAGGCTTTGATATTTGATGTTCTTACAATTCAAAGCACTTTGATACGTTTCTACTTTAAGTATTAAGAGGTCAGAATGAATAAATAAGTCTATACCAAAAACAGTATTTTCTGAGATTTTGAGATCTTGAGGGTTTGCAGATCAAGACCAGCACAACTGACACCACCATCCCCCAGCTCCAATTTCCTGATCCTCTCACCATTTGGAGAAAAAAAGGAAAAAAAAAGATTTCCCCAGTGCCCATGCCTCTTTCCTTTTCTTGGACCATTATCAGCCAAAGACAGGCTGGCCTGAGGTCCTCCTTGTAAACTCTGCTGCTCCCAACCCTACCGCTTTGTTGACTGTGGACCCCCGTAAATCAGCACTGTCCAGGCCCGGCTAGCTAATTTAAGCCCCGTGATCGGTAATTTATTAATGCTTTCCCTCCCCCTGATTGATGATCCCACAGAGCCCGGCTGCCAGATGCGACTCACAGGGAACACTGTAAATGGGAACAAGCTCGTCATTCACGCCCTGTCAGGCAAGACAAACACCACGAGCGCTGGCTGCTCCGTGTGCCCGCGGCCCTGATCCCATAGTCCCCCGCTCTGGGGAGTTTCCCTTTCAGCTCCGAGGCAATATTGACCGGCCTGGTATTCGGGAGTGTATAACTATAAACATGCCGCAACAAACAGGACACATTCCATGGTAACAGCTAAACAATGCGGGCTGTCAGCGTTTCAAGTCTGCTTTCTGAATCACAAAGAACACAAAAACAGGCCAAACTTTCCATAACCTTCCCACTCCCTGTGTACGTTTTTATTAGAAGATTTGAACCACTAGCTGGTCACTAGTGGTAATGAGTCATCTCTGTATACCTTAGATGTACAGTAAGTCCAGGTTTTGCCTCAGAGGACTGTTCTGTTTTGCACACACCATGCGCAAATTGAGGGATCACAACATAACTTCCTACAACTGTAAGCCTACAGAATTCACCAATTCAATTCTGTGCGACGTAAGTAAATTTGAGAAGAAACAATTATAAATTTATAATAGTTGATTTCCATCCCAGGAACAATGGTGATTTCGGTATTCATCGTATGGCCATACATCCAATAACTATTATACTTCTGATGCACGTTGGATTAATGCAGGACAGTTAAGGACTGTGCAGCCTTCCTTTCTCCAAAACATGCATTATCTAGCCATCTGACATTTTTTCAGTGCCAGTCCCATCACAACTATAGCAGAGTTGGCATCAAATAGCAGACTCTTGTGGTTTTCACGGAGAAGGCTACAAACCACATGGCAAGCTCAGGAAGTCCTGGCTAACCCAGGCCCATCCACTCCAGCTGTACTGGTTTCTGGGAGAACACTGGGTCCACTCAGCCAATGGCACAGCCCTGTCCAACCTTTGTTTTTAAAGAACGCCTCCACTTGACCACTGTTTGTTTTTTCATGATGAGGTACTGGCAGGACTGGATTCCATGTGTAAAGTACTTACAGAAAATGTCTACCACTCTATAAGTTATAAAAACGATAGTGATAGGCAGAGTGTATCTATATTTTCAATATACTACTGCAATATCTAAAATAATTAGGTTTCAGGTTCCAGACCAAATATGTGACCATATCAAGACAGTTATTATTTAACATGAGTTCAGATTCTTAGTGTACGACTCTGCTTTCAGCACTGTTCAATAAGACATTGAGAATGAGTTCGGCACTCAGGAGGAGTGAGTTAGGGTTACTGCCCCAGTAAGCTTTGCGGGTTGCTGGCTGTGGCCCTGTTGAGCCCAGGGGCACCTGCAAAGACTGGACACTGTTCCCCAGTCTTTCGGGGATGGGCTGCAGTGTGAGGGTAGTGGATCAGAGATTTTGATTTAGTCTCTCCCACTCCTTAATTTTAGAATCAGTGGCAAAAGGTCCCGAAAGTTCATTAGTAATGCCAAATTTAAACACTATTTAAGACTACACTACCCCTGCCCTACAGTAGATGCCCAATATACTCTACGTAGTATTATACGTTTTATATCCGATTGCTCAGAGAATTGGCTTGCTACTCCCTTTCACCCAGGCACACACAGGAGAGGAGCGTGGCGGCGCGCTGGCTCACCCCCTGGGGTAGCGGTCCAGCTCGTTGAGCACAGTGTGGTCACAGTACTCGAACACCAGGTGCAGCTTGCGCTTCCTCCGGAACACCTCGATCAGGTTGACCAGGTTCGAGTGCTTCAGCTGCTGCAGGGCGGAAACATGCAAAAACATGGAAAATCAATCGGATTTCTTTTAAAAACATTGTTAGCTTTCTGCTCTGCCCCTCGGAAAGAAACCCAATACTACGCTAGTAAAGCACGCACAAAATGAGATTTAGACAGACTGGACCATTTAAGACCTTTCATTTAATCAGACATTACTCTTTTAGAGGGAATGTAGTGTACCACCTTCCCCAAAAGGTATGTTTTATTAGTTGTCAATTTAATACCGCGGACTGATAAAGCTTTATCAGAAAGCTTACCCCTGTCTCTTAAGGGAGTAGCTGGAGCTTGCCTAATCAAAACCGCTTTCCAATTTCTGCCTTTAGTTTACACTCTATTTCACTATCGCCCTGAGAGGCAAGCTATCACACGTTAAGTTAAACAGCCTCGACTAAACAACCATAAACACTCTTGGATCTCCATGGCCAACCTGTTGCCAGCTGGTCCTGTTTACAGGCTCAGTGACAAAAGCATGGGAACTGAAGAATGTCTCAGGATGGCAAAGGTGGAAATTGCTGATCATATCATAGTAATGTGTTATCTTCTGTTTACTGAAGGATCACTTCTCAACTTATTAAAGTATTTGGTACCTTATATCTTATATTATACCTTATATTAATAAGGGGAATCAGGCTAAATCCATTAACAGAACACTCCTAAAACACCTGTACATTCACCGGAAATCGAAAATGGAAATGAATGAGAATATTTTTGTTCCAGTTTAACTGCATTGCTTTTTTGACGTGTGATCAAACAAGCATGAATCTGTCAAACACCCAAATTCTTGCCTCAAGGTATTCTTTTTTGCACAACACACTAAGACTAAGGCCTCAGGACACTAGAAAAACGCTATTGTGTTACCTGAAACCTGATTGTTGAATGTTGATAATTAATTCAATCAGCAACAATTTCAAATGCATGAAGTTAATCAGTTTATTGCATCTGTGATACACACAAGGACAAGAATTTTGTAAACATCGGCAAGCTGCACATCAAGAAATCTGTTTGGTTTGGGGTTTCGGGCTAGAGAGAAAAGGCTGACACAACATTAACATGCAGTAGTCTTCTTGGTATGTACTGGAGACCAAAGCCCTGTCTAATACAGCATTTCAGCCAATTCTATCTACAAATAAATATCGAAACATAATTTCCATCCGGAAAATTCTTGCAAAAACAACTGCATGGACCACGTCAGTCAAAACATTGCTCCAGACTTGCTTAACTTAACAGCCGAGGATGAGATGAGAAAATGCTATTTGGCCCATCTAGTCTGTTTGGCAGTTAATGCTGAATTGATCTAAGGATCTCATCCAGACATTTCCTGAAAAAAACAGGGTCCTGGATTAAACAACATGACGGGACAGCTTGTTCTCTACTCCCACATCTGTTTGGAAAAAAAAGCAACCCCTGTTCTCGGTTTAAAGCTAACCTTCAGTAGTCCAGTTTTCTTTATAATTACATCTCAATCATGTCATTTTTATACACTTTCTTCACTACAGGCACATCAAAATCACTCACATTACACATCAAATTTGCTTAATACTGTTTGTGGTTTATTTCTTAAACTCTTCAACTTTACATCTGGCTAACATTAAATCAACTGCCTCTACACAATGACTGTTCTTACAATGAAGGTCCGCAAAGTGAAGGCATGTGGCCCCACAGCCCTCTTACCTCATTTGTTACTGTATTAGAATCTATCACAAGATTAAGTGCAGAGTTGGACATCTGTGGGTATCTTGTAGATATGTTGTAATCATGTGCACCTGGTTGGCAGTAACTCTGCAGCCAATCTCGGAAAATCAGTGACGTGAACCGCCGATTATTTGGTTTTTGAATGGAGCACTAATTGGTTAGTGCAAGGGGACCTTATCGAAGTATTGAGAATCTTCAAAGTCCACCCTCTAGACATCTTCAGAATCAACAGTGGATCACAAATCAGAGGACACAAGCAAAGAGGATTTAATTAAGTAAATCTTGGGTTACTGCTTAGTAGTCCAAAAAGGACATTTTAACTGTACATCCAAATAGGATTATTTTTGTTAAAGTTTCAGATAAAAAACAATGGTACAAAAAAATGCCAGATTGCTCAAACTAAAAACAAGGGGAATAATATACAAGGTAGGTTTCACTGTTTGATATTTAGGTCTAGGTCCTCTGTCAGGCCACTGGAGGTACTAGAGATGTCACACGTGATACACAACATGACCCCGAAAGCACTGCGTGTTCTTTTAATCCACACAGGAAGATGGGAAGTTGAGGTAAACTAGAATGGACAAGATTAAAATGAGAAAGCTGATAACATACACTGTCTTTATGTAAGACTTTTGCAATTCTTTGATTCAATTTATTCATTTAATAATAATAATAATTGCTTACACTTATATAGAGCTTTTCTGGACACTCCACTCAAAGCGCTTTACAGGTAATGGGGACTCCCCTCCACCACCACCAATGTGCAGCCCCACCTGGATGATGCGACGGCAGCCATAGTGCGCCAGAACGCTCCCCACACATCAGCTATCAGTGGGGAGGAGAGCAGAGTAATGTAGCCAATTCATAGAGGGGGATTATTAGGAGGCCATGATTGGTAAGGGCCAACGGGAAATTTGGCCAGGTTACACCCTTACTCTTTTCGAGAAACGCCCTGGGATTGTAATGACCACAGAGAGTCAGGACCTCGGTTTTACGTCTCATCCGAAGGATGGCGCCTGTTTACAGTATAGTTTCCCCGTGACTATACTGTGGCATTAGGACCCACATGGACCGCAGGGTGAGCGCCCCCTGCTGGCCCCACTAACACCTCTTCCAGCAGCAACCTTAGTTTTTCCCAGGAGGTCTCCCATCCAGGTACTGACCAGGCTCACACCTGTACAGCTTCAGTGGGTTGCCAGTTGTGAGTTGCAGGGTGATATGGCTGCTGCTATGACCTCAGCAGGCAGCTCTGGACCCAGAGTAGTGATTGTACCCCCAGGCTCTCCCACAGAGCTGACCCAGCATGGAGAACAAGCCCAGCAGCCATGGTTTTTACCCAGAGTTTGTGACAATGGGTGAGGAAGGAGTTCATAACTAGCCTCTAAACCAAATGTTAAGTACTGCTTTTAAACACGGAGGAAGTTGTGAGATTACAGGCAGCTTTTTCTTATTTCAGACCCAACGTGCAGTGCAATTTCTGGAACGACACACTGAGGAAGCTTATATTATTGCAGATGGTAACCGATAATGAGGGTTCTTTTTCTCAGTTCGGCATGACACAGGAACACATCAACGATATCTTAAGATCCCCTGACTCTGGCAGTAAGGGAAGATGTTGTCCTCTGACAAAACGCCCGCGTAAGATGGACTCCTCCCATCTGTCTGTGGACAGTCTTGGTTAGTGTTAGTAACAATCTACAAGGAAGGTCTGTTGTAATCTGTTTGAAGGTTAAGACACTATCTCCCACACTTGGGAAGGCAATTAGGAGAAAGAGGAGAACTCACTCATAAGAATTCATAAGAATAGGAATGTAAAACAAATAAATCAGCAGCTTTCACTTCATGGAAAAGGACTGGTTCCTTATTAGACTAATTGGGAGATACAGGTGTGAACAGGTTAGGATTTGTCTGCTGCATATTGATTTCTGTGAGCACACAGTGAATGTTACTTAAGCCTCAATGTTATTGTAACTCTATCTGGAATTCCACAGTAAACAGTTTTCCTTGGCACTAAGTCTATTTGAATTACAGAGAGTAGTTGCTGTGGACGGTCAAATTAATTAAAGTTAAACAGTTTCTTTGGTTGGATCCACCATGGAAACTGAATTTCTAATGACAAACTTGCATCAGGTTTATATGAAATTTCCAAAATACTGTACATTAGACTAAGTTCATCGACAAAGAGGATAAAAAAAATATTTCTGTGGGTAATCTAGTTCTTCAGGTGGTATTCCGAAAGCACATTAAATCAATAAGAATGAGGAAAAACATTATATTCACCAGGTGAGTCAACACATTCAGAGCTAAGAGCTCATCTTTGTTGCTAAAAGAATGGAATGAATGATTTCAAGACACGGAGATAAATATCATTAGCTTCAAAAGTAGCACTGCCTTGTTTCCACAGCAAGAAGACACTTCCAAAAATAAACTTTAAACTATGTGGTGAGATCACCACAGATTAGACCCAACCCTTTTCTGAGCCATTATGGCAATGTACCACAGGACTGTGATATGGACATATTCCTGAATAAAGATTAGAAGAGATATATACATATACATTGACAGGTTTGATAGGAATACACATGCAGACTGCCAAAGAGAGAGACTACCAGATACAGATATCACAGGACTCCCGTGTAACAGGATATAAGGCATTTTTGGGTGATAAGCATCAGAAAACTAAATAATAAGCAAAATAAAAAAGGAAACATTATTTATCAGAATACATCTTATGCTAATATTTACTTGACACCCTTCTAAAGTGCACATTAAGCAGTAGAACTTTTAAGATGTTATAGGTTATTTACAAAATTCAACCAAAAAAACCCCACAAATTATATTTCAAGTGATCATGCATACGGAGAGCATTTTGTGCCAGGCCCAAGTGTTTTTGGCCACAACTGTGACAGCAAACGCTGTAAAACACTATAAAAAAATGTTACCTTCAGCATCCTGATTTCTCTCAATGCGATCTTCTTAATAATTGGGTCATCTTCAGACTCTACAAACTTCTTAATAGCCACAATCTGCCCTGTGTCTTTATTTCTGCACTTGAAAACAACTCCATAGGAGCCCTCTCCTATTTTTCCAATCTTCTCGTACTTGTCCATCCCAGGGCAAGGCGAACATCAGCGCAGGTGCATCAACGGATCTCCCCTCTGCCCTTCCAGGCTGTGCCCGACAACTGCCGGCAAGCTGAAGGAAGGCAAAGAATAACATGTGATCACATCCATTCATCCTTTTTCTAACTGGGGGGACCAGAGCCTATCCCAGCAAGCCTCAGGTGCAAGACAAGGATACACCCTGGATGGGACACCAGTCCAGTGCAGGACACACAGAGACACAGACACACACTGGGGCCAATTCTCCCAGATGCCTACCAGTAGGCTTTGGACTGTGGGATGAAACCAGAGCACCCGGAAGAAACCCAGGCAAACAAAAGTAAAGTCATATTTTCATATGAAGAACTGAATGTTTGAATTCAAATAATAGAGTACAGATCATGATGATCGAGTCCTTTCTGCACAGAACCACACTAAAGTTACATGTAAAAGTGAAGGCGGACTTTAATGTTACACTCCTCTTTATCTTTGTATTGTGTAATTTAAGTGCCTTGAGAACGCCATCCATTGAAAGGCTCTTTTAAAGAATAAAGTTAATTCAATGACCTTGTCCCAGTTTTTTTTTACATATCAACAAATAGAAGATACAAACGGATGGTCTAAAACGACAGGATATGCGTTTTTCTCAAAACAAATACTGTATTAAGTTACCAGGCACAGCACGTTAATAAAATCCTCCGATTAATAATCTGTGCAGAAAACGAGTGCCAGTGAGTTTGTCGTCAGGTGCACACCGCTTTAAATAAAGGGTTATTTTAATAAGATCTGCCCTTTAACAACAGGGAACTCCCATGCAAGTATAAATAGAAAACTTTTCTACAATGCCTAATTAATTTTTTATCAAGAGACTGAAATAGCACAGGTAGTTTGAGGAACACTGTTGATGTCAACGAACGCGCTTTACTCGCGTACTCTGCAAAATGGAAAAAAGCTGCAAACTACCTGTAGATATACATGTAGATAAGACGTTAGGGTTATGAGTACACCCATATTCTTCACCAGAAGCAAAAATATTTAAAAATAACGAGTGGTGGAACAGAACTGTGGTAAAAAAGATAATGCAGACAGATTTTCATAACTATTTTAAGAGTAACTCCATCTCTCATCATGCATTAACTTCCCCTTAGCGGCACGGAAAATTCAACATGACGACAGAAACCAATAGTATTTCTTGCATTTGAATGCATGTCTTTATTACTAATAACGAATATTCCAAAGCTCATATTCAATAGATAAAGACACAACGAAGAAAATATTTATTACCGAGTTGAAAAAAGCAGTGCTGCCCTGAAATCTTAAATACACCCAGTAGCGCTTTTCTTACTCTGCTTAAGTAAACACTAGTCACATGAAGCCACGTTTGTACCGAAATGATGAACAGCACACCTGTCTCAGAAATACGACTCTTGTTCAATTCCAGTACCTACACTCGTAACATCTAGAGCTACGTCTTCAAAAGAGACGATGAATTAAATGCGCAAAACAATAAATTAAACTGAAATCTCTATATAATGTATTCACGTGTATAAAAAAACACCGACGAAAAGCCTGACGTAAACATTCTCGGTCGTCTACGAATTTTTCTAATCTTTTCAGTTTCACGCCCGCTTTTGTATCGCACCGTAAAAAGAAACACCATGTGAAGCTAGCAATTCGGACCTGTTATTTTTTAACGTGATTTCTGTCAAAGCCCCTTTAAAAAAAAAACCGAGCCGTGAAGTTACGGTAAACGTTTCCCAACCAAGTTACTCTCTTCGCTTAGGCAAATGCGAAATTGAACACGAAATGCACCTTCTCTGTGGTCTTCTTTACGCCCTGAAGCAAAACAACAGCTGTCGTGCGGTCCAAGATGCTGAGAAACGAGGATCTTGTTCTGTGCGAGGATCTGCCAAGGAGAGCGCTATGCTAGTGGAAATGTGGCAGACTGAGAGCTAAGGCTTTTACCGATCGGTCCCCATAGGAACTGGTTTCCGAGCTCCGCCTCTTCACGTAGCTGGGGGAAATCTAAACGCAAGCATCAGAAAAACCTCCGCAATCTACAGAACAAGGAATTAAGTGCAAAGCGACAGGAGAGGGGAAAAAAAACACCCTTGTGATTTTGCGACCCTGCACTGCAAATGCAAATTAGAAAACGAGCACTTCGGGGATCTTACAAAAATCAGCACAGAATAAATACTGCCAGATTATTGGCAATTCTTCTACCTTCGCCAGATTTTGACTAAAATTAAACGAACTTTTTATGTCAATGTGTGGAGGTTCGCTGTATTTAAAGCAGAATAGTGACACGTGACGCTTTGTTGTTGCGATGTACGACATGCTTAACTTCAAACAGTACTTTAATAACTTAAAAGTTATTATCTGACGCTATTCAGTGTTTCTGGACTGCTTTCAATTGCATGTGTTAAGTAGTATTACCAGAAGACTACTATTTTTAATGTTTTCTTAAGAGATCTCCATATAGGGCTCACAGAGCTTGCAATATAGTTTATATTAATTGCCCCCATGTGTGCTCTTTAAGCACAACACCCTTTAAAATAGGCTACCTGCTGTGTATTTCGTACCAGTCTGACAGCACTGTACAGTATTCTCCTTCACAAGAATCTCTTCTACTGGGCTGGAACGCGCTATCTCCTAGTACGTTTAACAGAATTGCACGAATGTCTTGAAGATCAGTATTTTTTCTCGTTGCGATATACTTAATTTATAAGTGCGTTTTTAAAAACGTTTCTCAATTGTGTTACACTAAGTGGACCAAATACGTTGAGTGAGTAGGTAATGAGTAAATTCCACTGTAATGCACTGACGGCATTTGCATTCACATTCTGTTTAACATGGATTATTAATTTAATTTACTAGTTTGAACAGCAGCCCAATAATAAAAATCACTTTAGTATAATGGAAAGACATCACAAATTGCCTATTTTACGAACTTCCAAGTTCACATTTTCAGTAGTATTCCTAAGTACTGGCTTCTGCTTGCCGAGAACAAGCCAACAGACGCACTGAAACACAAGCTCAGATCACACTCTTAGGGTATTAGAATAAAGCCAAAGAAATGCACTCATAAATGTGTTCAGTATGTTTCAGAACAACACAGTTCAGAAGGAAAAAAAAACAGTTGCATACAGCCTTCATTAGTTAAATGGTTCTTCTCACACCATCAAAGGGAAATGTTTTCTTTTCTTCAGGTGCAGCAAATCGCAGTTAATTGCTGTAATTAGTATTAAAGGGTAGCCAGAATGCCGTTTCCTGGTATATTTGTATTATCAACCTTTGTTCTGACTGATACACTGATACACAGTGAATACGTAAATAGCTATCCTTTAACGCTAGGTATTTTTCTGTAAGTTCAATGCTTTTGTTTAAACTTCTCATTCAGCTGTAACACTGTATGGGGCAGAAACCATAACCTGTGACACAACAGACACCTACAGAAAACCCAGGAGAGAAAGCAGTGTTGCCTCCTGTCTGGGCAGAAAACTAAAAATTCCTGAAACAGAAAAGATTAATACAACATCTGATACAGCCTGCAGTAGTACAACAGTAATGTGCTGAGCCAATTGGTGTCACACTGTAGATAGCAAAAAAGCCTTTTATTAATGTCACTGGAACAAATGTAACAACATTGACCTACACCTTATTTCATAAGAAAGTAACTGGATACAAAATAAGAAATTATAGAAGCATATATTAGCCATCAGAGATTAAAGAATATTTAAGCTTTAAAACACCTAAAGAAATAACCGTTTTCTCTTTCTTGCATTGCTGCAGTTGCATTAATTCAACAGTAGACATTTTTTTTGCACTACTGAAAGGCACTAAAGGAGCAAAGGTCACACACAACAAAAACGAGTCCTTGATTAAAGTTTCCATGGTCACATTCACTGTTATTATCTTACACCTCAGTCCAACACACCTCTGAGCCCATGCCCATGAAAGCTTATTATCCTCCATGCATTATCCAATAGGAATGAAGGATCATAGCAGGTACGCTTGATCAGTGCCATGCAGTAGCAGAACGTGCCTCAACCCATAGATCTGTGACAGTTCATTTTTTAGCTGAGCATGCAGGCAACAGAAAAAAAGCAGCAAAAAAGAAGAGCAGGCTAAGGAACTGAATTGTGAGCTTTATACAATGGCAAGTAGGGAGGCTGAGTGAAACGCGTGGAGACGTATTAGGGCTTAGCAGAGTAGTTACTCCCCACATTAAAAACAATAAGAGAGTTAGCAAGAATAAGACAGTCTATACTGTAGTTCTTACACAGTAACATTTTGGTGACCAGAATAATCACAATGGACAACCTGAGTAGCAAAAAAGCCACTGGGCATTTATTTAAAATCAGAACCGCAAATCTGTATTTTCTGGGAGGCTTGGTAAGTGATAAAAGTCTCATTTTTAAAAACACTATTCTCAGCAGCTCTGGGCAGTGCCATGTTGTATCTTATCTTGTGTTTAAATTGTTTTGGATGCTGACAGTGAAATTTAAGACAGAATTCCTGATAATATGCACTTTACATAAAAAGTACCTTACAGGACATCATTTCAGTGCCCTTGAGAAATGCAAGATTAGCTGGAAAAATACATTATTGTAATTTTATTAACAGAATACCATTTTTATACAAAAAAACTACCTCTAAATTTTGAAAGGGAATACCAATGTTATGAAAATCCAAGCTTAATTCCTTTTTAAATACAAAACAGAACAAATGGATGTACAAAAGTGCTTACATGGTGCAAATAAGGAGTAAAAGTAACAGTTAAAAAAGTTAAATGTTTTACATAGAATACTCAAAAAACTAAAAAAAGCAGAAAGAAGCATTTCTATTTTATACAGCTGTAAAATAATCCCAAGATGCTCAGCAACCTTTTCTTCGTTAACACAAGGGCTTAAGGCCCTGCAAATCAGCAGGACTGGACCCGCCAATGGTTACAACTACTACTACTGGCAGATTAATAAATAAGATTTAAATATGCCATTTTACAAAACCCTATGGTATTTATCTTTTATATTCAACTTCAGTCTGGTAATCTAAACTACACAATGAAATTCCCTCCAACGTAGCCATTTGCATTATGTTCTGCTACAGAAATGCGTTTCTTCTAAAATACAATGGCATTTTACAATGTATGGAGGAAATAGTCAAACAAAGTTAATTTTTATGGCACTCAATCAAGAACATGAATGCACATACTGTATGCTTTTACAGCAACACAAAGATGTTTTTATTGCCACTGTGACTTTCAATGATCTCTAACTGCTACATCTTATCAGCTCTGTGTGATCAAGTTGGCCAACCACATGCTGACACAGGGTGTATTTAACCACAGCGATCTCCTGGATCCAAAGACTTCGCCAGTGTGAGCCTCCTGGCTGAGGGCTTCCCTTAGCTCCAGAATGCTCCAAGCTGTGACATCTAGCTGATGCTGTGGAGCACTATTGTTAGAGGCTCTGCTGGGGTGCAGGAGACTGAACGCTTCAGCAAAACCGCTTTGTTCTGTGACATCTTTTGTGAGTTCTTCAGTTCATGTTATCTCTGATGCCATCCTCTTCGCATTCTCAGTAAGCGAACACTTAAATAAAAAAGCAACAGGAATTAGCTGGCTGCCTCCTCATGCTAGTTCCTCCTGCAATAGAGTACGTCAGAGCTGGAAGTCTGATCAGCATTTTTCCGTGGCTACAGCCATCTTGTTACGTGACGCCAGTGCAATTCTAGTAACTGTTCTCATGGCCGGCCAAGATGTAGAGGTTGCTCAGGGCTGTGGGGTTATCTGTTGGCCGGCTCTCCAGCACCACCACCCTGTAATTGAAATAGGGAAAAGGTTAATTGAAGTGAAACCAAGAATTGCATGAATACCATAATTAAATCTGATGGTAGAAAATCAGGTACAATATCTAGACCAATGCACTGTTATACAGGAAGGAATATTTATGTTCTACAGTATTTGCAAATTACAAACACAAATTACAAACACAACCTCTTAAAACAATTTAATTTAGTGGCCAATAATGTACTTCTTGACTTGACTGCCAACCTTCTCTGTTCTACACTGCATGACAAAGACATGAACATTTTTGTAACCTTACTGGTAGAGCTGTTACATTTAACAAACACAAAAGGGAAGAGTAAATTAATGGGCATTTAAGTATGATTTTACGCCATGCCTAGTTATTAAAAGATGTGAAAAACATCTGACAAAAAAATGTGCTTTCCTTCACAATTCAAAATTGTCCCCTAACATAACCTTAAATTCCACACCTGACGAACCAACTCCAAAAAACATCCTGTCCAGTTAAGGTGAATTCAATTTCAAAGCATCAAGGGGTGGCAGGAACAGGCAGGTGAGAAATGGTGCAGTCTATTGTTCTTGAGCATCTGTGAGATGTAATTTCAGAAGCACACACACAGATACCTAAGCCAGACTGGCACTGCCAAAAATGCCCATAAATAAAACATGGGAACAGGCAGAATTTGCGTCTTTCGAGGTGTTTCTGCCATGATGGGCTCGTCCAAATCAGAGGCTTGTTGCCTGTGAGAACTTTTGCAAACAACACTGTTAAGGTATTTTGAGGCCGAGATGTATAATGTATAAGGACTGAGTCAAGAAGTCTTCAGGGTCATCTAAAGATGTTCTGCCTAGCAGCTTGACAACCACAGCTAATACAGCAGCACTAATTACAGCCCAAAGCTGCTGATGAGCCTGACAAGCGTTTCAATGTTCATCCTACCAAATGAGAAATATGAACAATTTCCATAACAGGAGTCGGTCACAAAAAGCATCTCTGTAATGAAGATATGCACTAGAATATGAAATTGTATTCCAGAGTATGAATTATTACACTAGTATGAACTAGTATAAATTGTATTAAACAATATCAGCCACCTTTTCTTTCTGGGAACAAAAACCTCTATTTAGGTGTGAAATATTTTTTTCTAAGTAAACGTAACTGAAGAAATGTTTTTTGTAAACTGTAATCACAATAGGATTGTGCAAGACTTTTAATAAATGCGTTCATAACTCACAAAACAGGTCAGTTTTTTTTAAAGCAATGCTACACATGAATTGATGATTCAAAATGCAAGATACTTTGGAGAATTCAAACTTGTTTGCTACTTTAATCAGCAAAGTCAGTTTGTAATGAGAGTTCTAATGGCTTAATGTGTAAAGAACTTCATGTTTAAAGGTTTGACTTATGAGAGCAGCTACAGTATGAAAAGCTTTTGAGATGAAAATAACAGCACATGACTGAGAAGAGGTATAGTACATTAACAAATGGATTGTCTACAGTCTGAAAAGAAGTCCTTTATGTTGTTACAATTACATTGTCAGTAATGAAGGAGTTTCACAAGCTTAAGGAACTGACCCATTTAAGATTTGATCGTAGAAATCTATTCTGTCAATAAGGTATGGTATAATAACAGGGGCTTCTAGTAATGATAGTGACCAAAATATGCCACATTGCTATCATAATTTAGTAGTGATGCTGGTCTATAGCATATAGTACTTCTGATTCAATAAGGATAAAAATGTATAGCTATCATACTCTTGAGTAATTACTCAATTGAGTAATACTGTTTTAGATGTTAGAGTATTGTAATGTTGATTCAGACACTGTATTGTAGATATATTTTACCAATAAAAAAAGAAGACAAAGGTAGAATTGAAAAGTTTTGAAAGATGTAACCAGAATATGCATGTTAAAGATCTTTAGTAAAGGCATTAAAAATAAAAAAAGTTTACAATGATTGGTTTGGTTATTATATGGTGTATACTTCATAAACCATAGTTTAATGTAGTTTTAGAACAAGGTACCAACTGCCAATTAAGTTGATTTCAAGCAATAAATACTTTAGATAATAACATGCACTGCCTTTTTGTTTATGGGTTAACTCATACACATCTTAACAGAGCTTTGATGACATCAATGCCCAGGGGACACAGCTGCATTACTGAGTGACTTATAGCACAGTGCATTTCCCCTGTGCCTTCATTAAGATTGCTGCTGCATGGAAAACACTCCTAATTTACCTGGCATAATCAAACTTCAAAATACACATATGAAATCACAGTTGGTCAATATGCAATCCAAAACTAGTAGCATTTTTTAAGAAAAAAAATATCTGGCACATACCATTTAGCAGGGTCATAACTACGAATTCTCGTATATTTCAGTAGTTCTATCAAAAATCAACAAAACACAAAAACAACTGTGCTACTGACGGCTATCTGCGTTTGTTTTTCAGTTACATATTGGAGTCATTTCAAATAAATCAGAAACACATTAAAGAATTAGCATCTATAAACTGCTCCTTATTTTCTCTGTTAATTTCCATTGAAGGTTATTATTTCTACTATGACTGAACACAGTTCACTGTGAAAAGCCACAATTCATTTCAAAGACCGGACATCAATGAATTTAAAATCTTTTGCTATGGAAAACACTATTATACCGAATACAAGCTAATTTAATAACTTCTGTAACTCAGGCTTGGACCTGACTTCCTTCTCTCATGATCTTTATGGAAACATTGGTCCAGGGGGAGCACATGTCTGATGCAACTGTTGCCAAGCAATGTGTTAAGCAAGAGATAAATGCTGTCACGTGGAAACACACTCCAAAATAATTAAAAAATACATATGCAGGCAGTGTTTATAGGAAACATGGAAGGTCTCCAGACACTGAGGATTATAATCTCCTGGATGAAAAGATTCAATCCATTTAAATTAATGAATGCTGAAATGTCTATGGTTTTACGACAGTACGTCATTCATACTTGATGGTGATTCACTTGATTCACACTTAATGAATTTCCCAGGCTCAAAACCATGAGTCCTAACAGAAATAATCCTTTTTAATTGCCTACCTGTCAGATCCGAGCAAACGGAAGACCCGGCTTTGATCTGAAATCTCCTGGGTAACCTGTCAATGAAAAAAGCTGCTTAGTGAGCTGTCATTAGCAAGTGCAATAGAATGACTTGTTGCTAGAGTGAACAGAAAGGCTTGAAATAAAGAATCAAATGAGGTAATTAAGACATAGGCAAAGCCATGTGGTTGTTGATCTGTCGTGAAATAAAACCACTCCTGCACAGCAAGCAACACATTCCTGCCACTTGTGCTGGAAAGAATGACTGAATGACATTTCATCCTTACAGTTGCTGTCTTGGTTTTGTGTAGGACTAAATGACTCAGCACTAGTGAAGAATTGCATGGTGACCCAACGCAAACACTCTCCCAATGTTCCTGTGACAACAGATGGTAAATGTGGAGCCCACCAGAGGTGGGTTCAGCCAACGCAATCTGTCAGTTTAGCATCTCAATGTGCAATGCATAACGAACTATAAGACAGTGTGAATAAAAAATGAAAAATGAAGGATTTAGTTGTGTTTTCAGGAAGTGCAAATAAAACAAAAGCTGAGTGTTGATGGTTCTGAGCAAAAGCCGTCTTCTGCAACTCAGCCTTGCAGGAGAGCTACATTCACTCTCTAAAATTAAGCTCGCATGGGCTAAAACAACATAATTTCTGTCACATGAAGGTAAAGCTTTTGTTATTTCAGAGCTTGAAATTAAGAAATTGGTTTTCTGGATTATGTTAAAACCTTCTGCGATAAATCAAGCACTGTGTCATTTGCTGTTTACAGTATCCAAGGCACTCCCACAGCGCTGTGTGATCTGTCATCCTAATTGATCACATTCTTTTCCCACACAAGATAACGCTCTCGGCTCAATCAACAAGACCTTAGCCTTGGCACATTTGTGACTTTTTATCTTGTGCTCAACAAATGCCATTTGCATTGCAAGTAAACAAATGGCAAAGGCACTTTGTTTCGAGCAGGGTTGGATACTTTCAAAGCAAAGCAAGACATCAGGCCTCCGATTGAGCAGACACATGTGAATGAGTTTCCTCATCAAGCAGCAGCCTTCAAAAGAATCATATAAAAAAATCAATGAATAATTTACAAGCAGGCCCTCTGTGCAGCTGTTTTATTTTCGATTGGACATGAATTTTGCATGGAGGTTGACATTTGTGGATCAGGAGCACATCCCCATTTTATCTTTCATACTGAGCCAGCCAAGAACCGGAGCCAAACGACTTTTCTTTCACATCTCTCTGGGGCTTTATTTGATGTCTTCATTTGTTACTGTAAGAACTTTAAAATGCAGCAAGCATAATGGACCATTGTACATTGATCTCAACAGTGCCAAGCCCCACTACACACAACGAAGAAGGTTTACAAATAACTGGAAAGCCATTGTACATCAGTGTCAAAAAAGAAAGGTTTCAATTGTTTATGCTGATTAGGTTATCATTACATTAAGGTCAAATACACAGGCAGCTCTCCCTAGGTTTGATATGGCCTAGGGCACTTTCTGTATAGTCTGAATGTTCTCCTGCTGCACCTCCCAAAGACAAGGCGGTTAAGTTAGTGTCTCTAAAGTGAGTGTGTCCGTCTCTTGCAATGAAGTTACATTCCAGCCAGGGCATAGTCCTGCCTTTTCCCCTACACTTCCTGGACTCTGGGCTGCCATGATCCTTACCAGGAATTAGTGGCTAATTCTGCTAAATCATGAATGTGATGAAGGGATAGATAAAATATATCTAAGGCACAAAAACAGATATGCGATTACTTGCATAATCTGTTTGTCTGCTGTTTGTTGTGTCAGAGAAAATGGGAAATTTTAAGCACTGAGCTGGAGATAAAGCAACTGATGGGAGTTTCAAAACCAACAAAGAAAGCTATTGCATGGAGCACAGTTTGTCTATGGACAGGGGGCCAGCCTGTCAGCCATAAGTATGGCGACAGAAAGCAAAGCACCCACAGGTTTTCATACTGTACCTCATTTGACTTGAAGCTCTTGCCCTGCATACCATGTTTCCAGAAAGCCAACACACTGTCCTGAAGGCACACTAACAGAGAAGATACCTGCATTAGATGTGAATTTCATTCACCACAAAAGACACACAAAAGACTTATCATACATTCATCCTTAGAAACATAATCTAATTTGGGGATTTGCATACGCCAAACACCACTTTTGATTTTTTTGTCCATTCAGGTGTTAACTTACCAACAGACTCGATGCAGAAGTCAAAGCTGAGTTCAGACGCCAGCTTTTTGTTGGACTTTAACTTGCCTTGAAGATTGACAATTTTCAAATTTTCTGCAAAAAAAAGAAACGTAACTAGCAAAAATGCAAAAACAGTTTAAAACTAAAACAGTTATTTGACCAGTGTTACAGTGAATCCAGGCAATATAGAAAACACTAACAAAATCTATAAATTAAAAGATTAGGGTGACAGAAAATTCATAGTAGATAACCCCAATCTCTCAATGCTCAAACTGGGTTATATCAATAACCAGAAAGTTTATCACCATAGAATCACCTACTGTAAATGCACACAAGTAACAACACAATTTCTGTTTCTTTTCTGAATACAGACCCAGCTTTGATAAGCCTAGCAGATAAATGGACAAATGAGCTAGTCAAGATATCAGTGTCTCATTTATTTGAGTGTTTACCTCTTTATCGGTCAATGCTACTGGTAGAAAAATAAAAGCTCTGTCATTCTGAGAAACATCCAGCTGACTGTTCCTTCATGAAAGTCAGGTCCTTAACCCCTTTAGTTAGATTACAATTAGCCTTCAAAGAGTGTTTTCAGAACCAAGATATAACCGTGCACGTCCTTTTCTGAACAGGAAAACTCAACTGGGTTTGTTGGTGATTGTTATGTAAAAGTGAAATCTGTAATCTGTACTGCCAGTGTGATGTGGCAGTTCTGCTCCGTGTTCTGCTTTATTAAAGACAGAAGGCTGAATGTGAACTGCTCATACTCACTGTCCAGACACACCAGAACTGTGTCCCTCTCCAACTGGGTCACATGGATGGCATCAACCTGGTGACCTCCTATGGGACAGAAGTTCAGAATGAATTTAGAACATCTCACTATACTTTCCAAATAACCAAGCTACAGTCCCTCTGATTTTCACAATAGAAATACATTTAATATTATTTAGCTTGTCACTGAAAAACACCTATTTTTTACAGCACTATTGCTTGGGTTGTTAAACAAATACATTATATTCAGTGTTACCCTAATGCCTTCCTCTTTATAATCCCACATTATTTACATAATAGGTGAATGCACACACACACACTGTACAGAAGTTTCGATTGGATTTAAAAGTTTCTGTGTGTGGACACAGTAGAGTACATCAAATCTGTTAATTATATAAAGCTTCATACAAGGTATTTCTACAATAATAGCCAAATAAGAATACTTAAAACTCAATATATTCATGTATTTGTTATATTATGAGGACCAGGCCACCTGTTTTTGAAGTCAGTGAGTTGAGTCACTCAGTAATTACATGCTGTTCTCTAAAAGCGAGTCAGTGTGAAGCTGTAATCACAAAGACTTGTGGAGATACAGATATTTTCCTCTCAAACCAATTCGAGTGATGCCAATTTGTATGCCCCCCCCCCAGCCTTTTCCAAAGCTCTACCAGTAATTATAGTCTATTTTCTGGGTTTCAAAGCTGGCTCACAAAAGCACAATGTCCGAAAAACCCAATACAGGGCACAGACGTTGTCAAATCTGCACTAATGAACTGTCCAGCGCTTGGCTTTGTTGGCAATCGAGAATGTGGAGGCCGGCACTGGGCTCTGGGTTCTCACCGGAGCCGATTTCGGTGAACCAGGAGGAGGAGGAGTTGAGGTTGATGGTCTCGAAGCGCACCACCTGGCTGGGTTCGCTGCCCTGGCTGATGGCCACACACACCATGGGGTACTCCTGCTCGGGCACCACCAGCATCTCGAACACCTTCAGAGGGCTGGGCAGGGGAAAGTCGAAGTGCTGCAGGGAACACAATGTCAACCAAAGCCTCGCTGCCGCCGCCGCGACACTGTGGCCCTGTGTAAATGTGCTAATTTCCCGATGCCTGTGCCACTATGACGTGTGCATGAGTTCACAAACATCCCCTGCCAAAGGATGCCACACTCTTGTGTTTATATACAGTGTGGTTGCAAAATAATTCACAGATTCAATTAAGCTGAAATTCCCAACACCATCAAGTCAAATCTCCATGGGCCACAACTCCAAATGCTAGGATGAATCGCATTTTGTTTTGAGGTTTCAGGACTAAATGGGCTGAGAGAATCTGGGACTTGTGTCATGATTCTTTCTTTCTTCGTATTTTAATGGAAGTGGATACTGACCTTTATCAGCATGAACTTCTGCATTGGCTCGTACCACTGGAGTAGGACTATCCCAGACTGCAGTGCTCCACACAGGTACTTGTGCCCGGTGTACGGATTTCTCACTAGGATAGGAACATTGTTAACTATCCCTTCACGAAACTCAAACTACTCGAAATATTCAACACAGCAGTAGCACAACAACAGATCATAGGGACACAGCAAAAACAAGTAGTTTGTCAATTAATGCAACTACGGTCTTAGTTTTAACACTTACAGTGTAATATATGACATTTTTACATTGTGGTTCAAATTACTAAAACTGTTCATCAACAGAATTATTTTCTCAGTTAATATACAATTAAGAAACTGTATTGGAATAATAGGAATACTGTATTGCTCTTTGCAGATTTTTTTTTTGAGCCAATAGGTTCTTAACATAAGATAGTTTTATGGCTCTTCCTATGTTGATATAGATCTTCTTGCTTTGATAGTCTGGAGTATATACACTCATTAACTGAACATGATTTTACACCACCATTCAGTCTTACAATGTCAAATGATAAAATAGGAAGGGGTGTAACATGTTTTTGGTAAGCAGCAAATACTCCTAGTGCCCAGGCCACCCTGAAGTTCTACATCCCGAGTCCTGAGTTATATCATGAATCACCAGACAAACATAGGGATGAAATGTCTAATTCGATTGCCTACAATGGACTTCACCATCGGAAAGACCGTCAGTACTCACCAATACAGCACTTGTGGCAGCCTTTTGTATCTGGGATCTTTGTTGTCAAGGCAAATCTCCTGTAACAAAACATGCCGTCATTTCTTAACCCTTCCACCTCATTTCGCTTTCTCGCATGAGTACAAATACGTATTTTACAGGGAATCTGACCCACACATGAAGATATGCTAGAATAGGAAAAAGAAAGTCTATGACTCCTTTTTTTTTGTACTATGCCTGGTTACAGAAGTTTTAAGGTGTTACTCACAATTGATGAGGAGCAGACTATAGCATATCACTAAAAATGTATTACAATTCATACTTCTGAAAGGCCCCTTTTATTTAAAGCTCTCTGTGAGGAAAGGTATGAAATGGGATCAAATGAATTTGTCTTTGTTTCTGATTCCTTCAGAAGTTTTCTGATTCCTTCGTGCTGTGTATGACTTGTGTCAAAGCTCTGATCTGGCACCTCGGTGTCAGACTGTCCATGTGCCGGGCCTGCATGATGAGAGCAGCTCCCTTTTCCCCCTCCTGGGACTTGATCCTGCTCACCCCCTGGGGCTCTGAGCACGAGGACTGCGCCACTCCCTCCGCCGCTGCAGAGCTCTCCAGGTTTCGAGCGGGTGACGTCACCTCAGTGACACATTCACAGGGTCGTCTCAATGGGAGACCATACACTCAGGTTCACAACCCCAACACACCTCACTACAGCTCCATCAGAGTGGAAACGTTTCAAGAAACGTGTAGGTCTAACAGGGTATGATTATGGGATCAATTTGAAATTCAAGATATTTTTTTAAGTTACCGTGTTAGTACGTTCTTGACAGCGGAAAGTGTGTTATGATGTTATGAGTAAATCGCATGTCTGAGTGAAGCGCACTGGTACTCCCTATTGCTCTCTTCTTACTCCCCTCCTCACATCGAGCTCCGACAGCTCTCGACTTACAAATCAAGCTCTGCCCGTTGTCCCTTGTGATTCCTAGGCTGAAGAGTTTAGCTATAATCACCACCAGTACTGTGCACCTCATTACAGAATATTTAAGATCCCATCAGGTTTGTCACAGCATGGAGCCTGGGACAGGCCTGCTGCAAAGCTGGGGTATGTTATTATCAGGTAATACGAGAGATTCTGTGGACAGGTGGTGAGGAGTGACTTTTCAATCCTGGCAGTAGCAGTATGATAAAAGTGTTGCCACCCACCTGGGTAATATCTTATCAGGAAACCTGTGGGTCTGAAACTGAGCTGCCAGTCCTGGCTTCTTAAGCTGCTCAAAAAGTCCAATGAGGTTGTGAGAATACAACTGGAAGGATTTTCCTGAAATAACAATGAAACAAGGGATTTAGTGCCTGTCTGTCAAACAACACCGCCGCAGGCAGACTTTCCAGTTGAAAAAGCTGGAAACATAAGGTAAAACAGCGGAAATATAAGGCACCTCTAAATATGTTTTTAAAAAGTGTAGCTATTAAACCATATCTCACTAAAAAATATAACTATTCACTGCTGTTACCAACCTGTCTCCATCTTACGAGAGATAGCACTAATACATAGGAAACAAACGAAGTTGGAATATGGGTGGCCAGTTTCACTGTCTAGATTATTTTTCAGTAGCCATTCAATTCAAATGTTATACTGTACCCTTTCAGACACTGTGGAGGCTGAACTTCTTCACTGGCCCACTGTGAGAATCTCTTTTCAGAGTACTGTATTCTTGAGTGTTTGTGTGCAGACAATGTGTGACAGCAGGTAATATCTCTAGATTTGTGTTCCACAGTTAGGTCTTCAATGCTCATGACCTCTACCATATTAAAAGAAGCCACACTAAAAAAGGCTAAAACCTGAAACATGATAACACAACCCCTTAAGGTCCTCAGAGAATTACACTAAAATAAGTAAAAGCTTGGAACCGAATGCAAATGGGGGAGTGGTATTACTCTTCTCAGGATGATTTTGAATGGTGAAGAACACATGAACCAATAATCAGAAGCAATGAGATTCTTCAACAATGGCAGTGGCAAGAGATTCTGATGTAGTGCTAACAATCACAGAGATACACAAGGGCAAAAATGAAGCATTTTTACCTTCTAGACAAGGCGTAGACAAGGTTACCAGGACATTAAGCCAAGCCAGATTGGGGAAGGAGTGAAAAAAGCCGCAAGGAAAAACACGAAAGAAAAACAGACATTAAATTACTTTACACCACAACACAAGCTGTGTTACAATGAAGAGCTGTGAAAGTGCGATTTCATAATGTTAGTTTCCAGAGGGGAAAATGGCAGCAAAAGGAAACTGTCAGGCTTCAGTAATGGAGAGCAACAAAAAGTACCCTGGGGATGAATTCATCTTTGACATTTAATAATGCTTAGTGAGAATTATGATCTTCTGCTATGTGAACTAAAGGTAGTTTTAGCAACAAAACAATGTATAAACCTCTAAATTTAGAATGTAGTGGAAACATGTCAAACATATCTCAAAATCCTTCATTTTTGTTTTTCTACACTTGCCCTTTCATTTACAAAAATCAGATGAAAAATGATGTCCTTTGAAGTAACTTCAACAAAGAATACTCAGAAAAGCTGAGCATAGTACAGGGTTTAACTGGAATCTTCTGTCATGAAAAGCCACCATGTCTCAGGACATTGCCATCTAGTGACTACCAATCTTCACTACATCCACACACAACAACTGTACGATTTGTAAGAGTTGAATTTCAATTTTGATTTTTTAAAATAGAGAATATACTCCTTTACATGTCTTAAATGTGTTTTTAAGGATAGTGGTCTTTCACAGCAAAGGCATCTGTTCTAAATGGACAGAAATCAGTCTTCTATATTGCTACTGCATTTGTCTTTCTACAAATATTAAGTCAGAATTTCTAATGGCACCTTACAAATGGCGATAATACCCCTTATATATTGCTAACCAAATAAGACAGCAAATTCTTTTTCTTCATTTTTATGAAGTTTGTCAAAGCTTTCCTCTTTGCCAAAATTAGGACCACAATCTTACTCACTGGTGCTGTGGGTGAACATTACAATAAACAAGAAAAACTCCTCAGAAGAAGCTTCCTACATACCTGATAAAGACATTAAGTTATTGTTGATAACGTACAGCCATGTGCATCTCCTTGGAAACAGCTACAAAAAAAGATAACTTAGAGTGTGAAACTCAACACATTTTCTGCTTTCCTGTCGTAAAAGGGTTGTGGTACAAAACAAAAATACCACATTCTTGTGCACTAATAATTTTAATAGAGATATTTTGCTCTAAAACACTAAATTTTTCTTTGACAAAGCTCAAAACTGAGAATATACTGTATGTGACTGCAAAGGCTTATTTACTATATTTCCCCTTAAGCATAATAAGCCACCATTTGCAGTTTATTATCTTTTAAGATACAGTACTATCCGTCCAGTTTTCTAATACATTAGTCACAAGAAGATAATCCCTCACCTGCTCCATAGTGGCTTCATGTAACTCATTCATATTCAAAGTATAAATTCCATCTTCTGTCCCAAAGATTAGATACTGGTCTGAAAGTGGAAATATGATTTTTGCTCCTTGAGAACTGTGACTAACTGATACCAGGCAGCTCACAAATTAAGCATTCATAAAAATATTCTGTATATATCACAACTAAGAATACATAATGATGGCTTGCTTTTGTATGGAAATTGTTTCAATAAGAGTTCTTTGGAAGACTGACAAACCTATATTTGATGGTACAGCAGTTATAAAAAAAACATTACAACAAATCATTTCTTCAAAGAGACAATATTAAACAATATATCATATAAACTATGACATATACGTAGCTTGTTGTACTCTGTTAAACCACTAAAATATGATTGCAATATATAATGTCATTTACTGTATATTTAGTATGATGCTTTTTTCTATTCTAAATAAATTGTATATTTCAAAGCAACTTGTTTGGCTCAGCTTATTGTTCAGCTTATTCTTATTGTCCACATCACTGATTTTCAACAACTAACTAAAACATCTTTGCATTAGATTCCATTACTGCCTTATGAAAAACTGCGATTGCACATCTGTCTTAGGATGTTACCTTTGGTATCAGGGTGAATCCATGACGTGGCACAATTAATCTTCAATGGACAGCCATCAAACACTTTGGAAAAACAGGCGCCCATCTACACCACATACACAGCACATTGTCAGCACTTTCATGTACAGCAACAATTTGAAATAATACACTAGGGTTTTGACATTTACAAGGGTTTGGTGCAAAGAACTGTCACAAATAGCCAATTTCTTATATAACCAAGTCCACATCCTATACCGTCGCTTAATGTACTAAAGTATGTACTGTAGTACATATGAGGTTAAAACACATAAGCAACTTTTCCTTACATGATAATTAAAGCATTAATGCATTGGCTTTATGTTCATTTAAAAAACACTGATCAAGTAAAGAAAACAGTAATCACAAACCTATAGTACACCTGTATCTGTTTTCCCAGAAGCCCTTTCATTTAGCAAAAATGTTTAAAAAGAAAAACCTAGTTTGAATCAAGCACAAAATCGTGAACTTTGGGAAAGTATGTCACCATGTTGTCAAAAACCGCTGGTCTCGCCACGGGCGAGAGCAAGAGTCTGTGTGAATTGTGACATAAAACCAGCACTTCCTGCTCACTAGTCACCATAATGACTAATGTAATGTGATGTATGAGTGAAGAAGTACAGGTTTGTGCAGCGGATATTTGCAACGTGATCTGCATGCAGAGTTAACAAGTACTATTTGTCAGCAAAATTGTCTCAAAGTCAAGAGCAATATTGCTATTGGGATAAAAGAGATGTATTCATAAGCCTACTTGTTTACAATGTAGTAAGGCCACATCACATCACCAGACATTTTGTTGCCTTGCCTTGAATTGCAGAATAAGGCACTGCACAGACCTGAAGATTTAGTCTATTTTGGAGACTGAAATTGGAGATTTTACAAGTTACAGTTTACCGTTTACTAGTATTGTGGTTTGAATCGCACTTATCAATGCCAATTCTTTCTACCCTGAAATATATAAATAGAATTGTATTTGGGATTTGTGTCACAGGTGAAAATTGATAGGAGACCAACTTTAATTGTCTTAAAAGGAAAAGAATAAAAGGGATAAGAGGAGAAACAACATCAACACTTACTAAAACCTTTGGTGTGGGGGGAAGCCCGTTGATTGCTGGTTTCTATGGAGAGAAACAGGTTATTTACTACTTTAGTCCCAATGTCAAACCCCACTCGAGGAAAAATAGTAATATTTGCAATTGTAAGATACCATCTGACTAAATGACTTCAGAAAGATGTAAAGTCTGTTTGGGAGTTTGGATTAATACCCCCATGTTAATTATTTTGAGAGCACATTTACATGTATAGCTGGATGTTTTTAAATGCTTTCTTTCTGATGAAGACATTCTGAAATAAAAGTAAATACCTTATCCTCCGTGAACAGTATATTTCCTTCCTATTGCTTTCTCTACCACAAATGACGCCTATTTTAATTCAGAACCCAAATCAATTAAAAACTAATGTTACAAGAGCATCACTCCTATGGGCTTATGCCTCGGCTCTAAGAGTTGAAGGAAAAAAATGAAACTCACAGGAAACTCCTTCTTCTCCCTTCTCAGAGGTGGAGCTGGGGGCTGCCTACAACTGTCCCCATTAACATCTGTGTTGGGCCCCTCGTTGTCTAGGAGAAGAAGAACAATTTCTCAATTCAATGAATCATATTAAGTACCCTTTTCCAATATACAATGCACCACCTGGCATCAGAAACTGAGGTACTGCTCTCCTTTGCTCCAAGAACAAATGACAACAGCTCAGCTTTTTCATACTAGTGGTAAATACTCTGGAACACCAAGAAACAGCAGAGTATCTAAAATAATTAATTCGCTCATACATTCTGTTTCTATCAAATGTTTTCTGTTCAACACAAAAATCTCACTTCACTGAACACAAACATCTTGCTCTCATTTTCTACAAATATTCTGGCACCTCAAGAAACACACACTTGCTATTGGTAGCAGAATGAATGCATTTCTCATTCAGTATGTGATGGCTGCGTCTGTCTGAATGAATAAGTGTGAAGTAAATGATGAAGCTGTTTTTACGGTTGGTACTGGCAGAAGACACTCCAGGGGACGAGGGGAGGGCGTGCTCTGTGTCTGTGCATTGCCTTACGCAGCTCAGAAGAGTGAGCCAGCAGGCCCGGGCTGCTCACGCTGGCCGACAGGAAGCCCGGGGGAGAGTGCTCGGGCTGACTGCCGCGCACTGGGGTGCTCTGGCGGCGCAGGCCCGGCTCCGCCCCGTTCTCGGAGCTGGGAAAACGCCGCACCGTCAGGCCGTTGTCTTCATCCAGACCGCCTTCTTCCGAGCTGCTGTTTAAGCGCGGCTGGGAGACAGAAACAACAACACTGCGGAAGTTGCCCCAAGATCTCTTCGTTCCTTGACTCACAGGGACCTTTGGCCAAGTGACCCAAGATCTCTTCTTTCCTTGACTCAAGTCGATGAATCGACGTGATACTATTGAGTCGGCTGAGAATACTACGTTAATATTTTGACATTCCTCCTTAAGAGATAGCACACCTACTCTCATGCACTCCAGAAATACTGCTTGTCCAAGAGGAAAACAATAGAAAAAATTAAGCATATTATATACTGTTTTGAACACTAGAGAGACCTCTAACATTGCTGTTATAATACCATATAAAATATAGTAAGCTTTCTGCAATACACTTGATCAACAACTCTAGTCACCAAACGTCTTAATCATTTACAGACTGTAACACAAAGGAAGGAGACACCAGTGACATCTCAATTTCTTTTTTCTGCTTGACTTAAGTTTTTTTGCTTAAAAAAAAAACAATTAAACTGTCCCATTCTGTGCATTCATGTTTTTTTCTCTAGAAATGTAACCGACACTGAAATGCTGAAACTATGGCCTACGGCAGAAGACTTTGCTGTTCTTGTTTGTTCCAGTTGAACAGCAGTCAACTGACACAAAAAGTAAAAACAGGATCTGAATGCTTAGTACACTAGAAATGGGATCTCAGTAGTATTAAATCTAACATTTTAACTTATGAATGTGGTGTCCAGCAACTTCTATAATCTTCTGGAAAGTCTGAATAATTGTTCCATCACCCCACCCAAATGGAGACATAAAAATAATGTCTGCGTTTCCTCAATACAGCATGCAGAACAATTCAGAAAGGATCCGAGTTCAGAGAGATGTAAAAAACCCAGTTTGCTCATAGAAATTCATAAAAAGATTCAAGTCTGGAGTAAGAAGAAAGCTGAACATAGTGGAAGTAAAGATGACAGATCTGCTACCTTTGGTGGCAGAGGGGGAGGAACTCCTTGCTTCAAGGTTGACCTGTAAAAGTTAAGATATAGAATAAGTTACATAAGAACAAAGAAACATGGAACTGATCAAAGGAGTTCTGAGTTTCACAATTAATGCACACTTACAATTCTACATCTTCAAAGGAGTCGTCTAGATGTGTCATGTGTCCCCTGTTGAGCAGAACACAGTTCTTAATGGCCTGCAGGGCTGTGGGTTAATGAAAGCAGAGTGCAAGCCGAGCTCACATGCACAAAAGAAGCCAGCTCCCCGTGAGAGTGAAATGAAAGTGTGAAAAAGGGATTTTAAGGTTTAACCAAAAATGACATGTGACCCAAGTGATGCACCTTCACAGCCACACCTTCACATCAGAAAAAAGGAACCAACCCAGAGTGCAGCTGTGTTCATTTTTAAAATGAATCGTTTTGAATCCTTGCAAAAGGTTTAGATACCCTGTGCCGCTCACTAGATAGGAATTCTCCACAGAAAGCACAAACCCCTCTGCAAGCCAAATATGATCACTTGCTGAATATTTCTGACATGAATTAAGAAAAGAATTCATGAACTGAAATAAAAAAATCAATCCATTCTATATTTTCTGTTTTGTTCCCTGTTAAAACCCTAAGAAATCTTAATTGATAAATGCACTAAGCTGTACTTCAGCTATAAATAACACACTTCATCTTATTCAATATTTCATAAAGTACATTTACACAGGTAAAAAATCAATGTGCCACTTAATCGATCCCACAAGGGGATCAGGAATTCACAGCGCAGCCCATTCACAGAGCTTGTCAAACTAGGAGTTGGAGTTGTCCAGACATTCTTTGGTGGAAGGGAGTGGTATCCCACAAACCAGAAATGCATCACCAGCTAACTGTCCTGTACAGGCAGTGTCCATTATAAGAAGAATGCAACACTGTTCTGTAAGTTTCATGTTACAACCGTTCCCCATTCCTCCCTACCAAACTACATCCAAGGTCAGAATTCAGAACTCTCCCAAAGAATTTTGAAAATGCCTCACGCTCTGAAATCACGCCTAAAACAACATCCTGTTACGTATGGTCTGATTCAATACATTCTTTCATAGTACTCCTAAATATGCACAACCTAAACATGCGTCTAAAATCCATTTTCAGGCATTTCTGAAGCATATGCTTGGTCTAGGTGTTGTAAAATGGTGTTTGGATGTATTTGGGGATATCAATACGTATCTGATGCTGTGCTGAACTGTGAAGAACACAATAAAAAATCCCCAAATAAGCAGTGATGCAAGAAAATTAATTCTGTTTGATCATGTGCTAACAGGCAACTAGGGAACACAAATTTACAATCTGGTGAAAAAAATATGTGAATATTCAAAAACATTAATGCGAACACAGAGCTGACAATACAAGAACTCAAGCTACTTTTCATACCTCTTAAACACTAACATTTTCAGAATGATAATTAGGAACTTCAATCCAAACATGAAAAAGTAATATTTTCACTTAATCAACTATCTATGGAGTGACCAATTTCTTGATGGCTTGCGACAGAAAAACTAAAGACACTAAAATGCCTTTTTGAGCAACACAGGATAAAGTTCTTATCAGACAACTAAATTAGAAGCAGCACAAGTATTTGGCTTTTCCCCTTCTTATTACTTTTGACTTCATGGCGATAATGCAATCTTGAACACAGGAGTATTCAAGATACAGCAGCTGTTTCCATTAATTGAGCCAGTCGCATGGGAGGGATATGAAGCTGCACTATAACAGGCACATCACATGTTACTCCACAAGCACTGGGACCACGACCACCACAGAACCATTAGTGGGAATGAGGTGAATGGGAATCACAGGAAAAACCACAGTGTTACCGTTGAAACAACTCCTCCTCAACGCTTTTGAGAAGGCTCCTTGGGGAGGGGGAGAAAGAAGAGGGAAAGACTGTGAAAGTACAGGGACACCGCTTTCCGAGCTCTGACGTGATGACATCCAGCATTCCGAACTGTAAACAGGGGGAAGTGGACATGCCCATGGACTCGGTCACCAAGAAAAAACAACAACAGCAATCGACAGCCGCAGGTTGAGAAAGGTCACTCCAGAAATGTTAAACGCATAGCTGCCATTTTGAACTATCAAGTTGCTTTCTCACGATTAAGTGAGTACTAATACACTCATACACAATTCTGCTCACATCTACCCTTTCGCAGTTCATATATAACCCCTTCTGCATGAACCTTCCACCCACAGGGTGTGTAGACTTCATAACTCTCATCAGCTGTTTATGCATGAAATCACAGGCTAATACAGGGAACCTCAGGCCACAACACGCCACAAACTCAGTAACCAAAACATTACAATAAGTTATTGATTTACTTCTTTTTTATACCCTCTACCACCGGTGTGGAGTCACTGTCCTCCTAGTCGTGGACTTGTGAGAACCACCCGCTATTTTTCATGCTGCAAGTCCAACTGTGCTTAAACAGCAGATAACATCAGATGGAGGAATGGTGTAACAGTCACTGCCGACACTGCAGGAGCAGTGAACCTAACATGGCTGAAGCTGCAGATAGTTTAGACAAATCAATCCAAGAGGCACTCAGCTAATAGAGCACTGTGCTTTGGGGAACCCCAGTTATGGTCATCTTAAGATGCAGAGAATCCAACTGGAAATGTTTAGACTATAGAGTGGAAGTCTACAGTCCTGGTTTTGGTGAACAATGATCTAGGCCATCTGTTTCTGAAGATTAGCAACACTTGTTATTGAAAAATTAAGCAAGACATTTTTTTCTGATCCTTCCTTGAGGACTAAAGGGTGTTCATATTTTTACTCCAAATTAACTGACATATCACCTGCTTAATTGGTCGTTAATAACTGTTCCTAGTCCTTAGGAAAAGGCGATTTTGTAATGACCTGTGAAACCTCCTGATTGGGGCTCTACAGGAGCAGGGTTGGAGATCTCTGTTAGAGAGCTGCAGCTAAACAATTTCTCATCTCCGGAGAATAATTTAGATTATTTGCTACTCTGAAGGCTGCAGATAGCAGAGATGATGAAATAGGATGCAAAATAAAATGGATGACAAACTGGCAGGCTTTGCCAGTTGCTCCTTGTCCATAGCAGTGATGAAATCTCAAACATCACAGCTGATGAGTCTTCAAGGCTCCAGAATTTGCAATGGAGGGGTGTGTGTGTGTGTGTGTGGGGGGGTCTCATGAGCAGAATGTGGACGGAGTTTTGCTAACAGAACATACTTGCTACTGATTCCTCCATCTGAAAAAGGACTCCATGGTGATGGAAAGTCGTTCTCTTTCGTCAAGTCCTGCAAAAGTCAGATAGCAGTGTGACAGATATTAGGAAGAAACATTAGAACCTTCCTTGTAAATCCCACTTGTTCTTTTACAGATACCATATTAGCTTGTGTGATCTAAGAGGAAGAGAAAGAGGCGTAAACAACTTATAGTACATGACTAAACTTCAGAGCAGCTTTAAAAAAACCTCTACATTACCAGTTCTGTGTGAGCTTCCGTTTCTTTCCGCAGAGGAGGTTCAAACTGCACCTTGTCAACTGATAAAAGCAGAAAGTGAAAGTACAGTAAGAACTCGTTCTCATTCGAATACTAGAGCTTATGTCATAGCATACTCTAAACACTAGATGGCTGCAAAACACCACATGAATCGCGACAGACTTTTATTTACTCTTCAGGCCAAAAGCTACAGTTGCTTTAGAAAAGCTGCGAAAACTAAAGACCACAATGTAATTGTTGATTTTTGTAGTGAAAGCTATATACATATTTTTCTACAATATTTTATGCACTCCTATTTCTTGAGAAATAGCCTGTGGTGACAAAGGGAGCAGTTTGACAATCTAAAGGCTGATTTTGTACTGAATGGTCACTTTCTCATGGAAATGTTTAAGTAGGTTAAGCATCAGAAAATGACGCAGTAAAACATGTTAATTGGAATGCATTAAGATTAAGTAGCTGTTTTTGCCATAGGGGTTTCTTGCCTCTCCTTGTACAAATTTACTGGGACAACAGATGTTGTGCATAGACCAACAAAACTCCCCCCCTTCTGACCGAAGAATTGATCTAGCATTCATCTATAAAAAGGGTACAAAACAGAATCAAGTGACTGCAGAACAATTAGTTGTACTTCCATTATGTGTGAAGGAAATGTCATATTAAATTAGATGATAATCTGTAAGGCAACAGGATCCTTGAGGATTTATGAACCACAGGTCTTGCTTAAATTATTTAGGGAATGCACATAATGATATTGAGATCTAGTTACTTCATTGAAAAAAAGTGTACAAGCAAAGGGTGAATGCTCAAACTGGAGTGATGTAACTAATGGAGTACCACAGGGATCTGTATTAGGATGACTGTTCTTTCTAATTTACATCAATAGTTTGGATTTTGATACAGTTCGTAAACTAGTCACATGCACAGATAATACCAGAATAGGTGAATTAGCAAATACTACAGTAGCAGAACACGAAATCTTGGAACTTTAGCCATGTTTATTCTAAAAATTGAACAATGCACTTATACTCAGAACTTATGATATTGCGGTTCTGTCATTAGTTCAGAGAAGAGAGACCTGATACATTCCCAGGCTACATCGAATATTCTACACTGACAGGCTAAAAGAACTGAATCTTTTCAGTGAACAGAAAAGACTAGGTGAATTAAGTACGCAGAATCCCCAAGAACAAAGTCAGCCCAGTGTACTTCTTCAGAATCAAATGTGGAAACATGAAGCCATGGATACAAGGAGAAACTAGGAGAAGCACCTTTAAATTTGGAAACGAGGCATTTCCTCAGGTTTGTCGGAATCCAGCCTGCTTTTCAACGGTGAAATAGTACATTCTTTCCAGACACAGCTGGATAAGATCCTGCAATCAATTATCTGACAGCAACAGCAAGTTAGCCAGGCAAAATGGCCTCCTCTTGACTGTTATTTTTATGTTCTTATGTTTAAGACAAGCCCTCGAATATATTGAGGTTGAAAAACAGTACTGCAAAAAGTTGACATAACTCAATATGTTAAAAAAATCAAAAAGTCAGTTAAAAAGGGAGTTTCTAACTGGCACAACCAGTAAAGTCTCAAATTTAAAGCACAGCTTGACCCTTGTTGTTCTGACATTCCTGGTTAAACTCTGGGCAATTAAGACAGCAGTTACATTTACACAAACGCACATTGTTTTCTCAAAAAACATTTTTCTCAAGTGAACAGAGGTAGCTTATTTCCAAAGGCTTAGTGTCCATTTTGGAATCTAAACGTGGCATATCAGTCACTGTACACCAGAAAACATACTAGAATACGTAGTGAAAAGCAATAACTCTCAATCACTTTAATTCAGTCTATTATACAGGGAAAAAAAGGAGCCAGAAGGCAATTTTTCACACCAGTGTTCTAACAGATACAGTAGATCTGTCATAACACAAATGAGTCCTAGCAGAATCCACAAACTTGTCCTAGCAGAACTTTTCTGTCTCTAAGGACGTCTGTCACAATACCGTTACCTACTAACTACCAAGGTTGCATACTTGACAACTTTTCAATAGTGTGGCAGCCTACTGCACAGCTCACAAAAGCCTCTGAACAAAGTGTTAAATCGGCATGCTTTCTACTGATTTTATAGTTCAATACTTCCTGAGAATTAGAGAGTAAAATAAATTCCATGGTAATAGTATTTTTTATAAAATTATAAGGCGGTGGCGGAGCGGTGGCTCTGTGGCTAAGGATCTGCGCCTGTGACTGGAAGGTTGCCGGTTCAAATCCCGCAGCCGGCAGAGGAATCCTACTCTGCTGGGCCCCTGAGCAAGGCCCTTAACCCCAACTGCTCCAGGGGCACCGTACAATGGCAGACCCTGTGCTCTGATCCAAGCTTCTATCCCTGTCTGTGAGTCTGTGTCTCATGGAGAGCAAGCTGGGGTATGTGAAAAGACGAATTCCTAATGCAAGAAATTGTATAGGGCTAATAAAGCAACATTAAAAACATTATTACACATTAAATTCAGCGTTCTAAAATAACCCAAAGTTCTGACATAAAACCGAAGTCTTCAATTTGTCTCAAGCCTACAAGTGATTAAACCAAGATGTACACAAAAATGAGAGAAACAAACCAACAATTAGAAAACGTGCTTCAGTCAATTCTAGGGCAGCTTTAATGCAGAGATAAACTTTCTGTGAACTTTTAAAAGTTGACGAAGCTGATCTTCAAGAATGAGATCAAGCTCTAATGACCTGCCTCAGACCTCCTTGAGCCTGCTTTGATACTTCATACGCAGTAGATAAAAGGACTGCCAGAAATAGCACTGCTAAAACTAGTCAATGACTTCAGCTCATTTTTCTACTTTCGAGCAGTTTTCTTTTTTCCCCTTGAGTCTCTTAAAATTCAATATACCTAACAGTAAAATTAAGTCATTAAATGACAACCTGAGAGACTGTAAGAATAGAGACTATAGAATACGGTGCAGAATGGCATCTACACTGGTCTGAAACTGCAGCACCCTTCATCCACTACCCACTGGATCATGTCTATTTTTAACAACCCAGCCACGCTGGGTACTGGAACACAGCCAGTCCTGCAGGATTAGTGGAATGATCTGCTTTGGAAGTGGGCCATGATGGATGTGTCTGATCTCTACTTATCTGGTATACGGTATACAGATGGATACATTCCAACATATCACAAATCTGTAATTATGGAGTGCAGCAAACCAACCTAAAATCTGAAAACCTTTGGACTTGTTCTTGTTTAGTGTAGTGTGTGTTCTCATTAGGCAGCAAAGGGCAGATCCTGAGACCAAGACATCAGACTAACTGCTGCAAACCACCATCATTAAGACTTTCCTGTCAGCAGAGGCACCCGTATGGAAGCCTGCACACTTACAGTTAATTTCCGAGCGCGTCCTCTCTGCTCGGCAGTTCTTGTTTGTAGAGCGAATGGTGTGGCGAACAGCTGACAGGGGCTGCAGACGGAGAAAACAGAAATCTGTTAATGTGCAACACATTGTATACCACTGGGAACAAAACGGAAAGGAATCAGCCAAACTTCTCTGAGCAGGGACATAAACACCAGTATGTTCCAAAGAACAGGATTTGTACCAGATTCATTTTGTGGAAATGGGCCATGTGACAAAACAGTAGACAGTCTTAACAACATCTACTAAGCTGTGTTGGGGTCACTCAAAGAGACTACCTAACTCTTTGATGTTACTATTGTCAAATTAGATGGGGCCCTAAGAAAACTCCCTGGCTATCTTCAGGGTAGGAAATTAAAGAACAATATTTATGTTTTATTTGCTGTATTGTAATGACCTCAAGAGGAAATTAAGTTTTAAAGAAATTCCCTGGACAAAAGAGGTCAAAGCATCCTGACATCATCTCAAATAATGATTCTGAACATTTTTACCTTGCAGTAGCTAAAAGGAAATGACCATATTATAAAGCAGATAAAATCTGCTGCCCAATCCATTTCACTTTATTACAAACAATAGAGTACAAGACTCACATTTACTCAAGGGCTTTCTTATTACATAGTACAAAGCTCAAACCAAAAACTCAGAATGTATCTTCCTCATCACATCAAGTGATGCAATGACCCATGAATATACAAAGTTTAAATAATTATGAATAATATTTATGAAACTGTTCCTATAAAATGACCAGCGTAAGAATCAGATAAGCTGGAACAATGTGTGACACAGCAGGTCATAAAATCTGGAAAATTGTTTAAGCACTGAACATGTACACTTGTGCACTCTGTCACCCTTATAGTAACATTTTAAATCCTTTTCCACAAGGTTATGGTGTATGTTTTGACACAAAACAAAGAAAACAGAAGAGACCCCAATTACAACAAGGTACATATACACACCCAAAATTAGCAACAGTCATGAGGGTGGAGTTTATTTCTACTTGCAATATCAAGAATGGTTAAAAGTACCAGGAAAAGCAGGAGGGGGTTTCTTTTCAGTCACATTTCAGTGATTATTTCACATCAACATGCTGTTTGCATACAAATAAAAAAACGCAAATCTAACTGTGTTTTCTTGCCGTCCCTACCAGGGGAGAGCAGAGCGCTACACAATACTCCCTTCACAGCCTTGTCTGCCGCTGCCAACATGAGTCGGGGCTCGCACACAGACACCAGCCACGGCAAGTAACACAGTCAGGGAGGTCCACAAAGGACAAAGGGATTTTCAGGGACAGTGCGGTCACCCAAAGGCATGCTGACATGGAATAAAGAGCTGGGGAGACCAAGAATAACATCTCGCTTTCTAGCTAGGCTTGGCCATCACAACAGACAGCTAAGGAACAGAGGAGGGAGAAGCCCGATAAAGTGTGATACGATACTGCAGGAGACAGTATCCTCCGGACAGAACAAAGGCAGCAGCCTCAAGACAGAACCGGGCACTTTAAGAAACACAGTTTTGCTGAATTTCTTACAAACTGTTTTGAGCCAACTAACTATTGTTGGAGTAGTGTTAATAAAGTTGTCAACCACAAAATCCACTTTTTAAAATGAACGTACAAATGTTTTTTTTTTTAATAAAAACTCCAAATCATTATTAGAAGAATTCAAACAGTCTGTTGGTGTCACAGTAACAGTTTATTAAAAACATTGACTAAAAACCAAGGCCTGTCGACTGTTGAATTATTTTAACACTTAGCTGCTGAGACAACCTTTTAAAATATAACACTGTAATTGGACCTCAAGTCCACAATCAAAGCACAATCTTTCAATGTATTTAACTTGTGCTGGAAAAAAGTGTCATTTAAAATAGCGTGTGGTTGTGCAGAAATAACCCTGAACTTTACAAACCTTTGAAAATGTTACCGGCACTTAACTAAAAATGACTTTATATTTCTATATATTGCTATATTTATTCCTAAAAGCTTCGACACAGAAATAAAATGAAAAGCTGATACCAGAAACCCAAAGCTTTCAAATTTATGATTTTGAAATATATGAACTGTAGCATTTTAAATGTATTTTTAAGTTGTAAAATTAAGACAATGAGACAAATGGCAAATACATATCTTCAAGTTAATAATCACTAAACAACTGTTTTAAATTTGCTGCTTCTAACTCATGGAATCATTATATATGTTCAATGTTTAATTGTTAACAGGTAAAGAAGTGAAAAATGGCTAGGCATAGGACAAAACAGGGAAAAAGAAATACGTATAACTGAAAACCTGAATTTGGCATTTCCCAGAATAGAAAATCAGAAGCCCAAAAACCATTCCAAAAGGAAGACTGCATGATGGAGCTGAACCGATGGTAGACACCAATGTTAATATAGAAATATAGGGGAAAAGTATTCTACTGGTGACAAGCTCACACACACGCTAGACCCAATATCAAAAAGTGAGGAGCTTTCTCGTACCTCAATATCATCGTCATCCAGATCTCCCCCTGGGTAGTGGGAATGGTGGTCTGGGTTGTTCATTTTGTCTAAGAGCTCAGCAGCGAGGCTCTTGGTCAGGCCACTCTGAGCTACAAAGCTATGCTGCAAGAATGAAGGAAAAACAAAATGGACGTAACATCAAGCCCTGTATATTATTGGCACTGTTATTGACTTTACTTAAGGACAGTTCTTTAACAATTAAAAGTTTTGCATCGATGCTTATTCACAGACGTAACAAAGATACAAAGACTTGCACTATTTGAGGATATTTGCCTTATGGGACTTCATTTTCTACATTTTGAATATATAAACAAATTGTGCATTCTGTGTATTATGAATAAAATGTTCTTATTTGCCCATGTTTATTTCAAACATGTTTATTATTTTAAACCCTCCTCTTTCATGGTAGATGGTAGAATATCAAAGTGACATTAAACAGCTGATTGAAAAGCAAAGTGATAATATAGTAGGCTTTCAGCCATGAGAGAAAGTAGTTTATGGATGTCATATTTTAAGCTCGATCAGTTTCTCCAAGTCATCTAATGTGCCGTTTGAAAGGTAAAGGCTAATTTTAACACTCCATATTAATAGCAGAACTACGGGCATTACTCAACGAGTTAATAATTAAAAGGCTCTTGATCATTAAATGAAATCAGATTGCCTTAGGCAGTGGTGCGAGTGTTAATGACACCAGAAGATCATCCACTGTCCTAATGCTGGATCAGTGTAATTCATCAATACCGATAATTACAGTAACTTGCAAAAGCTAGAAAAAGTAATCTCTCTGACTGAAAAGTGGAATTTGTGATTTATTACCGAGAGCAACTTTTCTGCTGTAGGCCTCTTCTTTGGATTTTTTGTCAGCGAGACTTTTACAAAGCTATGGAAAGCTGTTGACCTGAAAAAAAGAAAACTTGGGTCACACAGTCTCATAGGTGCCGGGGAGAAACAATGTTTGCTGCTACCAGATTTCTAAACCAAACATCCTCTACTCAATCCCACATTGCCAAGACACAACAGTGTCCTGTGACAAGACTCCAAGCCATGGCCAAGTACACAAGAGGCAGACCTTGCCTTCTCACCATGTGTTCACCATGTCCTGCTAATGTAACAATAATATAGTTATGTAGTGTCTTTAAGAATCTAGATAGGATGAGTAACACCTGGGTAGTGTCAACATTTCCAGGGGCTTCAAAGAAAGGAGATGTTTGCCGAGATGTAGGGGTTTGAGATACAGTGGTCAAAGCAATCGAACAAACAGGAGGACAGAAGATGAGAGATCTTTGTCTAGATTATTCAGGAAAACCAGATTGGAGATAAGTGTTTGAACTTTGTGAAGAGAGCTTGCTATTCTGTTGTTGTAGGAACTTTGACATCCGGTGTAAAGAATCCCTTGGTTAAAACTGCCTCTCCTGGCTAGTGGATGCATTTTTAGAACAGGGAGATAGGTTCCCATACATTTGATAGCAAGTGTAGAGAGGTTTAACTGTAGGTCGCATTCAGTTTAGTTTAGAAGGCATATTTCTCTTCTTCTGGCCTTTGTAGGCATTATATAAGCGTTTGAATGCTTGGTAACAGTCTGGGGTTTTTCTGGGTGGTTAGGACATTAGGCCTCTGGGACACCTTACTTGAACGTTCGTACAAAGTGTAACTTGTGTGATGTTTGTTTACGTTGTATGTAGTGTAGTGTGTGTGTTGGCATTGTTAATAAGTATTTAACCCTGTGTGCTTGAATTATTAATCTTTTCACCAAAGCTGTGGCAGAGAACAAAGAACTCATGTGCCTCTAATTATACCCTCCTCTCAGGTATATTCTTGGCAAAATCTTTGCTAGTTGGGAGTTATGATTATTTAACTAACTTATTAATTAATCTGCTCTGTCAATTTCTGATATTTCTCTATTTGTAATTCCTATTTGTAAAAATATTTTCAAATTAACAAAGTACTTCCCTTCATACTGTTGCCAAGGGGCTGTGCCTCTGGTAATGACATTATTTACAGCATCTTCAACATTCATGAACATGGAGCACCAAATTACATTTTTTCTTTCATGACTTATCATTACATGTTTACAAGCTTCATGGTGAAGTTTTCAAGTCTGCCTTTGAAACCAGAAGTTAAATTAAGTACAGATACCGGAGTTTGTCTCTGTTCCTTGTTGGGCTGGTTTTCAAATGACAAAAGTATTCATTTCTAAAACACAGGAAATACTGTATACATCTCCCATTCAGTTTGCTCAATTTTAGCAAGCGTTCCTGTGCACATTTTCAGATCAAATTTCAATTACGACTAGAATTTCATTTTAATAGGTCATTTAACAATAAATCGACTGAATCATGGTCCCGGACAACATAATCGAGGACAAGGCATAATAGTTATTTAGCACTGTGTATGACCCTATAGAGATTTTTCAAACACAAAATAATTTTGGGGAAAAATCTATAAATATATTCACCCAACTTTAACAGTAATAGGATCAAAATAATTGACGGTGCTTGTGAGCACACAGGACCCACAAAGCTGATAGAGTTCACCCCGAACTTGAGCAGTATCCTTTGCAGAAAGAGACCCTAACGTGTATTCTTCCAAGGACAAAATGCTTGTTCACGTTTTGCACTGATCAAAAACAAAAACTTTTAGTGTAGTGAAAACCACCTTAGTAAAACTATTGAACACTTCCAGTAGAACCAACAGAGGGTTCTAACAGAATCCTATTGTGTGCAAAATGAAAAGACACACTTACCACTTAATCTTGTCTTTAAGCTTTGGTGGCTGAAAGCTGCTCTTTGACATTAAAAACAAGGCCCTGAAATGTAACACAACACAATGCAGCTTTAGAGGCTCGGGAATGAAAAAAGTGGAAATGCAACAGGTTTACAGAATTCAACTTTGAAATTATAACATTCATTTTAAAGGATCAAAGTATGACGATGACAGTTCTTTACATGGCGTCATATATGTATGTACAAAAGATGTACGTGAGAGATATCACATTCCATCTGACGCAAAATGTCACCAGCTTCAACAGGAAGAGGTCAGTTGTGACCGCTAGAAAGATATGGTAAATATTAGACACCGACAAAAGAACAGAACAACAGAAATGAACAAGGGGGAACTTGTCACACAGCAGGCTACCTCATGGGGTGGAGATCAAACATGGGGGGCTGCAGTTCTGCCAGTTCGATGGCCGTGATGCCCACTGCCCAGATGTCACACAGCTGGTTGTAGCCCCCGTTTTTCTCCACTGCCGCTACCTCAGGGGCCATCCTTCAAACGAGAACAACGCAGAGGTCAGTCAAAACAGCACCTCAACAAGGCTCTTTGCCACTCGCTCGACTGATACTTGGGCAACACTGTTCTGATACCAGTCAAAAGGACATACAAATGAAATGACACTTCAGAGAGCAAATTACACATTTTTAAACAAATTACTGTAACTTGGCCCTGGCCTTTATTTAACCATGTAACTTACATTTGTTTCAGCTTAACTTAACTTACAGCTTTGCGTCATAAATTTAAATCTGCTTGTTAAAAATAGGGCCCTGTGGAAATAAGTTACTCTTAAAGGAATTTGTATTTTGTACTTGTATTTGCTGTAAGTACTTGTACTTTTATAACTTTGAAATAAGGTGAAAGAGAAGTAACACCAGAAATATTTTACTGAAGTCTTTTTATTTTTATATAGATTAACTTCAAAGTAACTGAATATTTGAATATTCATCGAATATTTCCTATTTTGAGCACAACTACAATCAACTTGCTGCATACATTCTACTTCTGCAGCAAAGATCATGCAAATTATTTAGCTGAAAGACATGTCAGACCACTGTCCACTTTACAGAATGCGTAGAGCTCTATTTCATTTTAGATGACAATAAACCCAAAAGTAATAATCAATTTAAGATAATAAAACGGTCAATTTAAGAAAAAAAAATATTAAAAACTGTTGCAAAGGAATTTACCAGTAAGGTGTACCAATGAAGGACTTTCTCTTGGCAATGGTCGCTGTTATTTTGGCTGCAACTCCGAAATCAGCTGCAACAAATAAGGGCCTGCTTTAATTTCACTCATTCGCACAAATACTTGACAAACAGAAACACTATCTTAAACATTTCCTTTCCCCCCCCCCCAACGTTCCATGCCCTCGCTCTGGAATAACGAAGAAAACCAAGTCCACAGACGCTTCACTGCGATGTTGTTACTCATCACTTCAGGGCTGTTACAGCTCACGAACGAGCAGGAGGTGAAGCAGTCGGGCCTGTGTGTCGAGCAGAGGATACCCGACAGCTATGCACTGCCTTGCTGGATAACCCTGGCCATCTTTTTCTAAATAAAAGTCCAGACTCAGTCAGGAGGCGCAACCTGCTGTCCAACTGAGCATCTTTCCAGCTGAAGCCACAGGGAAGCCCCTATCCCATAATGAACAGCCCTGATCCTGGAGAGCCAGCACCTAGCAGGCCTTACAGCTGTCCTTCTCATCATTCATGTAAAGACATGGAACACGGATGAGGTTTGATTAATTTAGTATGCGCGTTGCGTCAGTTAAGTCGGTATCATCTAACTGGTCCTACAAGCTAGAGGGTGTTGGTATTTGCATTTTAACTCATCTCTTACATACTTAGTCAAATAAGTACCTGTGTACAGTACGTGGTGAATAAAATGTTCAAAGTGGTTAGAAAATGAGGTTGTAAAGGTAACCTACAGAATATGTGGACTGTGGCTCTCCCGGACCAGGGCTGGCCTGCCCTGCCAAATTTCTCAAAAGAGCAGATACTTACCCAGCTTTACATCTCCACTGTCTGTCAGCAGAATGTTTGCACCCTGTATGAGCATACAGAAACACAGGGCTATAAAATCACAACCTTCCTAAACAGCAGTACTGAAACAATTACAACATTTACAGCCTATATGAACACACAAAACACCTGCAAATGGGTAAAATTGGAAATTCAGCTGTTATGCAACTTTGAAAATCCTTCTAAGATATAATAGTGCTTCTTAAAGTAGGATTGCTATTTTAAATTGAAATCCCTTGCTGGACTGTGTAGAATTGGAATGATTTCAAGCTTGTCTGAAGACACACCCACACTCATAATGTCATTCCCTGCCACTCAAAGACATTACTCATCTGTGGCTTTAAACTTCATACGTGTGGTAGCCTGTCTATAATCCTGATTAAGTACAATTAAAAGTTTGTAAATAAATACACAATGCTCAAATTTATGCTTACCCTGTAATAATAGCTATGCAATTAATATTCTTATGTTTTCAAGTCATATAATTGTTTCACATAGTCTCAGCAAATTATAGATGTTATTGAAAGTCACCGGCCTACACTGACAGCCAGAAAGAACTCAACCTGTTTTTATCTTGAAGAAAGAAGGCTACAAGTGGATCTGAAATCTGAAAATCCTCATAGGCACTGACCAAGTCTACCTAGAATGAACTGTGAAACATGAACCAGAGTGGAGAACAGGAAGCACTTCTTTACCCAAACATTTGGAGGAGTGTGGAACAAGCTACCAAGCCATGTTACTGAAGTTGATACTCTGCCTTCCCTCTAGAAAAGGCTGGACATAATCCTTGGATAAACAAGCTACTGATGAATAAATGTGCCAGATGGGCCAAAAGGCCTCCTCTTGCTTGTAAAACTTTGTATAAATGTTCGGCGTGGAGGAGTAGTCAAAATCCCCTCATGAGTTTAAGAACGTATAAAAGGGTACAGGAAGCTGCTCCTTTAGGTTGTTTAAACCACAGGTGAGTTCACAAAATATTTATTACAGAACATATTTAGAAACATTTGCAAAGATGTCTCACGGTCCTACTATATAGAGTATATATAAAGTACACTCAACAATCTTTGTGTTAAAAAGTATTGAATACCCAGATTTTCATGTTACAACAACTTTCTGTTCCAGGTCATCAGGTAAAAAATTACATTCAAAATTAAATTTTAATTAAAAGTGAGAATTTCAGTCAGGGCCAGATTGTATAATTTTGCTCAGAGATTACCTCACTGACCTTTCGACTTTCATAATTGTCTCATCTACACAAATTGCTGATTCTCCTTCTCTTTGAAACACAAAACAAAAAAAATCTATCTGCTGGAGCCACATTCATTTGGTTCTTAAACCTCTTTATGCCAGCTTTTAAGAACACCAAGACAATGAAAACATGCTATGTTTGTTGCATCTAAAACATGCAGTGTATGGTCTAGACAGCACTCAAGCCAAGCCTAAGACTGTGCTTGGCAAATACTAATACAAGAGACACAACAGAGTTAACTGAGCCCATCACCATCATGGTAAACAATATGATTCAATGTCAATAGAGTCATCTAGAATGGGGGAACACAATTTCCAGTTTCCAGGACTGTACAGCGGCTCAGAAGATATCCAAACAAGTGTGAAGTTGTTCTTAATCTTCTGAGTCAAGATATGGTGTAGTAAGTGCAAATTAGCTCTGGGCAAAACAGGCTCAAGTGTTACAGATACGCAGCAGTGTTGAGTGACAAGTCTGATGTGTGTGCATCCTGTAGCCACTGAAAGAAAACAGGATGTACACCAGCCATGGCATGCACAGTGAGTACAAGCCCGAAATCATCTGTCACACACCGACAAACGCTGCAAGACCACGATAAGTGCCAATGATAGCTGGGGTAGGAAGCTTTCGAAAACAAGCATAATGAGAACCGTGTCAGATTGACATCACTCCCCCAGCGTGGCTATCCTTCATTGCTCACACCATTCAACTCTGGTTTCCTGTGGCTTCACCTCACATTTCTGCAGCAACGGAATCGAAATTTATCACAATTCGAGCAGTTTGCAATTTCTTAAAAAAATTTAACAAATGAGAGCAGCAGTTGTCTTTGAAAAACATTAATCTGCATGACTGGTATTCCAACAAGCTTTGCAGTCTTCTGCACCCTCTGTGTCTTGAGCTGACCCTTCATTCGTTTTTAGTACAAGTACACCTGAAAACTCACAGAGATCGTACCTTGATGTCACGATGCATTTTGTTCTTACTATGAAGATAACCGAGGCCCTGTAAAAGGGAAAAACAATTAAAAAAAACATTCCACGGCTCAACACCCAACCATGACAGAAAATGAGACTCTGGCTCTACAATGTACTCAAATACAGAAGCAACCTTTCTGCATTACAAATTAATTGTTATGCAAACGTATGACAAGTGTTAATTTAAAATTAATAGGGTATGTGCTGCAATAAAAAACCATGGAAACACACATATTTAAGTATCAAAAATGTATATTCAAGCATTTAAAAAAAAACAGTTTAACAGATTAATTTATACCATCTTCCAAATTCCTCTTTCTTTAACATCGTACAGTCCGCTTTCATCAAAGTTATTTTCTTACCTGCAAAGTTTCTCTGCAGACATAGGCGATTTGTAGTTCTGAAAGAGGCCCAGTCACTATTAAGCACAAACATAAAAAGGTCTAAGATATCGGTCATGGCCAATATTTCAGCTACACTGGTTGCAGCTTAAAAAAGCACACATACCAGAGTGCACATTGAAGGAAACAGTAAGGCCTTGTGTATTTTTAAATGTTATTTTTAAGTGGGAATTTATCAATTAGTAATGAAAAATGAGCACATGTATAAACAGTATATCTGAAATAGAACATTAGGGAACATTCATCTACACTAGGGAAAAGTCAGGAGTTATACTGATACCAGAATATCACGGGGAAATAAGATGATATGGACCTTTCTATTGCAATTAACTGATCAGGTCACCCTTAAACCATGAATATATATGTCCCCTGAGAAACAGCGTTAGTGCAGTGGGTAGCATGCTATAGCAGCACTGAGCCACAGAAACCTCACCAACCCCTGTTCAGTTTCTATTATCTGAACACACTACGAAAGGAGGCTGCATTACCATGGTAGATATCCTGCAGAGATCCTCCACCACAGTATTCCATGCAGATCCACAGTTTCTCCCGGCTGTTGTGTGGGGAACAAAGAACACATTGATTCAGGTGAGCAGAGAACCTTCAGTGTCATGTGTTTAAGACTCAAACAAAAAAAAATATCAATGGATTTGAAAACAGAGCTTCTGGATAATAGTAACAGCTACATGAAAACTTCTGCAGGAAAAATACTATGAGACAATACACTCTATAGAAAATTCAGGTATTTCTTGACTACAGTACGTACAGTAGTTATTTAGAGAAAGACATCCATCGGACTCAATTCAATCACCCATGCTTTATCTTCTGTAAGAGGAATTGCAATTTTCCCCAAAATGAAAGGTATTTAATCTTTAAGGCTGTACACATGATACAACATTTTTTTTCCGAAATTCTTTGTAGTGCAAACTTCAAAAGCAAAGGAACGTTTGTCGTATTTCAATACGAGTTATTTGCAGATTTATTAAACAGTACAGACTGTCTTGAGAAAGCAGTGCTGAATTATCTGATTAAGTTCTTTTTTTTTCCAGTGCCCAAAATGTCCAGAGACTCAGCTATTTAAAGACTTTAGGAGACTTTAGAAATTATCATCATCCCAGGACTGATAAGGTAGAATCCTTTTTAAGTTACTCAGTTATGTTTAATCAGTTGCCAAACATTTTTGAGAAAACGGAAGCACTTTAGAGCAGAGTATGAATCATTTTTATTAATATTTTTTCCCTGGGTATCTACAAATTCTATATGTTATGAATTCCTTATCACCTGCACAACCATGCCAGTAGGGATGCGCATATACGTATATGTACTATTATACACATTTATGGAAAAAAATCTTTGGTAAGAGGAACCAACATTTGTTAGCAATCTGTGTAGAATAATTTTCATACTTTGCAACCACTGCTGTATAACCTGATTAGGTCAAAGAGACACAAGAAATGAACTAGGCTGTAATGTGACTCTTTGTTAACCTGAACTTCTGCTCACTGATGAACAGCACTGTACCAAAATTTCAAAGATCAAGTTAAATATCAAAGTCTGCACTCACAGGAACTAAAACAATTTCATATTTTTCTCTTTACATTCCAATTAAGCTGTTGTTTGCTATGATAAAGTTTGGAGAAAATACGTTCTTATTCATACAACAATGTAAAATGGATTTAAATTTGTTAAATAATATCCAGAGACACTACCAAAACATACAGCTGTGCTGATACTTAAGAGATCCTTTTCCGTTACTGTTTGCAATAGAGGATCCAGTAATAATAATCTTACAAGACATAATGGATACACTTGATTTAAGTCCGGACTGTTTCATAATTCTTGGTATCATATGTATAAATGCTTAATCACTCTGAAAAGGGAAGAGCTTGCAACCCGATAAATCTGTAATGCAGCATTAAAATGATGAGCCAGAGATTTAAAGTTTCAAACAAGCTATTCAACTATCTGATTAAAAAATAATAAATGTCAATCTACAGTTTGCACACCAATAAAGAATGATAAACAACTGCATACGAACTGTGTGGTTCGTGTTTGTCCTGTCTAGGACACAGAACGAATGCCCTTTTTCAGAATGATCCATGAGGATGGATTGGTCTCTGAGCTGCATGCAACAGCAACAGCAAATTGTAACCAGATCACTAAATAGTCTGATGACTTATATCTAAACTATGGCCATTGATGCTTTTCAACTTGCAACTTTCATGTCAATCACAGAAATTGTTGAAATCATTTACATAGTATGGTGTACATAAGAAACCTGAAATAATGAATCCAGGACAGCTAGTTCTATCTTTATTGAGCATTGTGGCTATAAATATCAAATTGCACTTCGAAAAAATAGTGTTAAGTTATGAAGAGTTATGAAGTTATGTACCACAATAGTTACCTTCAATCAAGTCCTCATTTTAGAGGAAGCTGTTCCGAACTCAAAGAAGTGAAACTGACAGAATACAGTCTGTGAACTTCCCATGACTTCAACGTTTATGATTCACCTACTGTAGATAAGTTAGCCTATGAAGCACTCACACTACTAAAATTAAAAATGGCATCGTCATTGTTTAGACTGCAATCTAACACCATTCACACGACTAAATTTAAAAAAAACATGACGGATTTTCCCAAGTTAAAATGATTAAAATGCAAACATAAAAAATGAAATCATAAACTACTTGTTATTCTATAATCAACAACAGTTAATGTGAAAGAATGTAGAAATGGCCCTTCAAAGCAGAAACTTTGCCAGCACTCAAGACATGTTACTATGTACAAGCACTAATAGCTAAATTACATGGTACTGTCTGTATGCATGCATGCATCTCCCCTGAGTCACAGACACATAAAAAGACCATTGGGTTCCAGTTCCAGTAAGAGGAGCTAGACAAACTTTTTAGGTGGGGGTGGGACACAGTACTTTACAGGGAATTAGGCATTGCACTAACTATTCTTCAGAAGTAACGAAACCAGGTTTTCTAACACTGAGAAGCAACCACTGCCACAGTGCCAGTAAAGCAGCAGGTGTCTGGCTTCAGGGTCCGACTCATCTTTTGTTCATATTTATGGGTTTTAAAATCCAGCAAACTGTTCATGTTAAAGCTCTATGTGGAGTGATGGTACACAAACACTAGGCCAAAAACTACAATTTGTACACTTATAAATATATAAATGTATCTTTACCATTCCTGAAAACTTCCAAGGCTACAAAACCAGTATTTGCTTTGTGCCCTTTAGTTCTGAAATGCTGCTCAATAACTCAGAAAAGTTTAATTGGAGACAATGTGCACAAACTGGACAATCCGTCAGGCAAACATACATAGAATGGAAATGGTGTATTAAACCAAATTGTCTATTTCAGTTCTTCAAAGGTAATTCAGCCTTACCATAAGTAGCTTCCAAAGTAGGCCACAATATTTTGGTGTGTGCATTCTTTCACCATAAAGATTTCCTGCTGGATGATGGAAAAGTCATCCCCTGGAATGAAAAACAGTAAGTTAATGCAAGAGTTTGAATTATTTTACAATATTCCCTACATGACAGGGATACAGGCTTAAAATGATTTAAAGAGCACTAACACAAAGGCTAGTTCATTTCCATTTTTACATGAATTAAAAAAAGATCTAGTCTTAATGGATAAGAGGGATATTAATGAGGATTTCCTTAATCAAAAAATGGCCCACATTATCTGCCAAAAATCATTGTCTCATGATTTAAATACAATACTTCAGAGCAGGAGCTCTCCTAGAACATTCACTGCCACATTGCTATTTTTTCAAAGATGTTTTTTTCCCCCATAAACATGAATACAGTATGTATTGGGAAAGACATGTAAAGTCCTCTACACACTGCAAATGAATGTTGATCACTGGTTCGATACAGAAGTTTCATGCAGTGTATATATGCTTTCCGGATAGAACGTTTCAATTTAAAGGAGGACTTTTAATGACGGAAAAAACGTGACCTTTTACTACTTTGAGTTTTTGTTTTTCACTTGCAGGCCCACTTCATATGAATTCGAACTCTAATATCACCACTAAGATTACTTTTCTGTGGGCCTGGTGTTTTATTTTGCAGTGCTTTCCCAACACACTAAAAAAATATTTCTCAGAACTTCTTGGACTCCAAATGGAAATTAGAAAATGGATTCAATTGAAATATACACTATTTCTGGCATTTAAATCTCATCTCGCCTGTTGACTTTTCATCTAGGATGATATACAGATACTGATTATTTATTGACATCTTTTTTGTAGGGTCTTTTTAATTCTGTATAATCTCTCAATCTGGCAGTAAAATGTTAGTGTTTCACCACATTTCCCTGCAGAAATATTTATAAACAGAAATTCAGACATTAGGCAATCAACCTTCACACGTTAAAATGATAAGAAAAATATTTGTAACTCAAAAGCCTCAAACCAGATGTCATAATCTTCATTATGGTGTAGATTAAATAACCTAGTATTTAATCGACAGAAGATTTACTACAAAACGTTCTATCAACACCTTAATTTTTTTTTTCATCATTTCTGTATGTCAGCTTTTCATGTGAAATATACCATACCGACAAATATTACTTTCAAACATTTGTATTACTAATTTGCCCCCATGAAATCACTACTTTTACTGTAACAAAGACTCTTTAATCTCTGGACTCCTTGTTCAGAACATCGAAGTAATTGTTTTTTACAAATAGTTTGACAAGAATATGTATAGATATCTATTATTAGTTATGAATTCTACCAAGAATTAAAACCTCAGATAATTTCTGTATGGATACAAAAATAACTGCATATCGCAAATAGTAATGAAGGGCAGAGCACATCTAATGTATTTAAATAAACTGAAGCATGTTGCTATTTGGTAATTTTTAGCGATCACTAAGTATTTCCTTTCACTATGCCAGACCTAGAGCTTTCTACCAAGTAAACCACAGAAACACAATCCAATAGATGGGAGTTTTAATTATGAGTCCATCCAAAGTGAATGGTTTTTATCCATTAATACATGAAAGACTTTATATCAATTGTACAGACATCTGTATACAGTATTTTAGACTATTGATGCATACAAACTCAACTTTCACACTAATGAATACAAAGCAAAAAATGCAAGGCCATCTGTTATTAATTCAACAGCAACACTGCAGCCCTGGAACCTATTAGTGAAAGAATGAGATTCATGTTTTTCTGTTGTGATCTCGCTGTACTAGTGGATTTTCTTACATTAATGATCTTAAATTGTGAAGTAGATCTCAAGACTATTCAAGCTACTAAATGACAGAATGCATGTTACCAACTCTATTGCAGACAGCTGCAACGTGGTGCAAAGTGTCTTTGTCCCAATTTTTCCAATACTATTACCAATGTATTTGGCTGACACTTTTATTCAAAGCAGCCAACATTTGTACCTACAGTATTTGGTGGGCATTTGACTAGAGGAAAGTACACTGCTCAGGGGTATTACAGAAGAATGTCTATCTGGGATGTGAACACACAACAAGTCCAGAGTCCTAATCTCTACACCTCACAATCAGCATCAGGGACTTTTACAGGGAGAGAGGATACTTTACAGGACTTTACATTCTTCTCTCTGATTTGCAGCAAGTTTCCAAGGAACCAAAGAACTGAACAATTCTGCTTAACACTGGTGTAATCCAGAAGGTAATACCCTTGCCTACTAATGACCCATGGGCCCACAGTGTACCCTGCTAAACAGAACAACTCAGTAACTGACAGCATCTACGGGACTGTTTCCTTAAATAACCCCTGAATTTCCCTGAATACTAGTTTGCTTTTCGTTTCTTATGTCATTAAGACAGTGTTTTCACAATACAGAATGAAAACACAATACTGATATTTGGTCTTAAGTAGTATAAATAAAATAGAAAAGATCATTGAGTAGAGTCCTTCAGGTTTGTAAAATAAAAAGCAAATTCAGCAGATTTAACACCAAGAACAGTATTTTCAACTAATGTGCAGCTGTCTAACCTGCTCATTTACCAGGAAAGAACCCCACTGTTTTAAGACTGCAGAGAGTCTGATTTCCAGTAACAGAGGAAAAGAGGCTCCTGGTTCAAGTCTCAGCTCTATCAATAACACAAGTACCTTAACCTGCCTGAGTTGTGTCCTCTAGATGAGGCCCCAGTTAAAGGTTAAGAAACTTTGCTGGTTTCTTTTAAACCCAGTATTTTTTCGGTAAACTGTTACTGAAATACATTCATAGCACGCAGAACTCGCTGCCACTTGCTGGCATGGCGCAGTCCTCAGGTCACCATAAGGCACTTTTTACTCTGACACTGGCATCATTTGGGCATCAGCAATTACTCACCCAGCATGCTTGCTTCAAAAACTAAAGTTTGACAAAAGGGCACTATTTGAAAAGAAAATGCCCAATCAATGGCTGTATCTAGAATCACAAAGAGTCATAATAAAATAAAATCAGACAGAGGTTTGATTACTGAATCATTAGGATTTAGTGGGAACCAATCGCACATTGCCAGTAACAGTTTATTTATGGTTTGGGGTAAAAAAAAAGGTCAATGAAACACACAACACAATGAGAAGTTTAAGGCCCAGTTTTATTGCAGTCATCAGTTTTATTACTAGCATTTTAAGTTTGGTATGAAAGACAGCCTTGGAATGTGTATTTTTATAAAAGACTTGGGAAATCAGAGCAATGGCTCTTACTGTTGGAGCAAGAAATCTTGTTAACACTAACCACTGCATCAGAAACGGAAATACTCCAGCAATGAAGCTATAAAAATAGATTTAGGCCAATACCTGCCAGATTACGGCAGGTAAAATGTAGTCCTGCTGCCTCTGCCCAGATGAAACTGCACACAGCAGTATTGTGTGTCGCAGCACTTCTGTATGCAGGAACTTGCTTTGTTCCTGCAAAGCGCTGCACGGAAATGGCTGCTCTTGCCTTTAAACGTACAAATATCTGAATGTCCATGACGCCCCAGTTAGCTGCAGTGTTTCAGGGAAAGATACAGTGATTCCTTTCAAATGGAAACCTCAAGACATAACCTCTGCCTGAAGCGCAGCGTTTGAAATAAATTAAATAGAACAATTTTAACACTCCACCTTAAGATGCAGTGTGCGCCAGTCTATTCTTTGACGTTTTATATTTGCAATATCATAAGGCAAACATAGTCTATGACAGCTTTGCACAACACTTATAATGGCTACATTTAGAAAAACTCAACATTTCATTATGTTCCAGTATGAGATTTGCTTTCATAGGTCATACATGACGTCACTTCAATAAAATTTTAATACATTAATGTCACATCTCTTGGAGATTGTTTTAATAACCAGAATGGCACAAATGGATCAGAAAAGGCTATTTCAGCACTGTGACAAAGTGTGGCAAAGGGCAGCCATACTTCGGAAACCAGAATCCTGACCAGGTCTAGTGCAAGTGATTACATTACTCCTATCCTGGGTCACTGCACTGGCTTCCTGTCAGGTTTCGTGTTGACTTCAAAATCCTCCTGCTCACCTTTAAGGCTCTGTATGGCTTGGCACCTCAGTACTCGTCTGAGCTACTATTGTCCTACTGCCCAACTTGCAACCTTTGCTCTTCTACATCTGGTCTATCTGTTCCCCAAGCCCACCTATACTCTATGGATGATGAGGCCTTCTCATGCTGCGTCCCAAACCTCAGGAACTCCATCCCTAAGGATATCAGAGTCACCTTCCTTTCAAATCAAGACCCAAAACCTTCTTCTTTAGAAGAGCATTTACTTAACTGGTTCTATTATTTATTCCTCTGCTCCATATTCAGTAGCTACTGTCTCCTCTCATGGTGTATTCTCATTGTACATATCCTGTTTTTTTTTTCTTGACATTCTTTAAAGCGCTTTGAGAAGCCAACTTTAAAGGCACTATATAAAATGAAGTTTATTATAATTACTAGGGCAAATAAAACAGTTTGAAAAAAAAGCAAATGCTGAATTAATGGCATGTTAATGAGTGAAATACAAAACCAGTACATTTATTTTGTGTCATAAACAGAGTGAGTGAAATCTCTTATGTTTTGTCACAGAATGTCACGATTAACATGTTCCCAAATAAAAACCAATCATTCGGTAAACAGATAATCTGGTTATGAAATAACTTTTGTTGTCAGGAATGGGGAATCCCCTTGATAAACACTGCTCACTACCTGGGTTCCTGCCACTGCATTAAAAAATGAATTAAACTGGTCTGCTTTGGCTTCAGGTTGAATAAATCTGTTAGACAGGAATTAACCTGCTGGACTTCATCCACATCAACATAATGCCTCACTTATTAACTAAGAACTAGGTAGTGAAATTTAAATTTTTATTCAAGTGTCAAAAGATACAATAATGTCCCTGTTGTATCACCATAAAAATACACTCTTCAGTCATCAATTTTATGATCACAGAGTTGTTTTCTCAGAAAATACACCAGCATTACACATCTCTATGAATAACTGATTTTGCAATCACACATTGGACTACCAATATACTGTACATTATGTAAAATAATGCTTTATCATGGCTCTTTCTATACTTTAGAAAAGATTTAAAGGTAAAGAAAGAGTTTTTTTTACATATGACTACAACTCATACAAAATTAATTGAACCTTAAAACAACTTGAGTCTAATACAGCATGATGATTAAGAGTCAAGGACTAGCAGAGCCGCTGAAAGATAGCGTGTCTGTCGTCTGAAGGGTTTCATTCCAAGTCAGCCCATTAAGACACATAGCAGCTTGTTATCGACTTCACTGTATCTGCAAACGAGGTTGACTATAATGTAGGTTACACCTAATCTAAAGAAAAGCCACTCTACCTCAAAGAAATGCAAAATCTAGTAAAGAGCTTGGGTGGCAAACTGATTATGCATTACTTATATAAAATAATACAGCAAAACACATTTTAAATTTAAGTCATTGTATTGATCTAGTTACAATCTTGTGAGCAGTACCACTTTGTATCTTCATCAAGGCTCAGACGCCACCCAAAGATGAGCCTGATGACTTCAGGGATGGAGAACAATAATAAACATGGTGTAGTAAATGGTGCTGGAGGGCCGGTAAGTGGTGCTCTTTTCTGTGATCTGGAATTTCAGACCAATGCCCTAGTATAGTGACCAGGGAGAGTTATCCGTTGTTAAATTGAGATGTCAGATTGAGATTTAGACTATATGGTCACTAGTGATCCAGTGGTAATGTTCAAAGTCACCAGAAGACTGCCTCTTAGTGCACCCCTATAAATCCTACCTGCTGTTACACTGCACTGGCTATCCACAATTTCTGATCAATAATTTAATTGCATCGCTGTTCGGTTTATTGTTGCTGCAACATGCAAGCCATGGACTATAGTAAGATCTTCCACATATAACTATTCATTTTAGTTCGTCGCAGAATTATGCAGAAAACATTCAGTGCCTCATGCTCAATACAGAGAACCCTGTTTTACAAAGATTAAAGCTGAATTCATATCAGCTCACAAAATTTGCAGATCATCACTTTTATAGTGTATTCTGTTCCTAAATAAAATAATGCTTGTGCATCAAAAACCTTATAGAATTGCAAGATTTATAAAATCATTAACTAGGTTTATAGATGGCTGATCCAGTGAGCTTTCTAAGGATCTTTCTGGACGTTGTTGTATCTGGCAACCACCCAGACATCAATTAACTTAGTCAGCATGTCTCTGGGAGGTGGGAGGACACCAGAACATCTGGAAAATAAACTCATGTGCAGACTGGTAGGGACAGAAGTTGCTCCAGCCAGGAATCCCACAATTAGCCCTGCTAGGGAGGACATTTAGAATAAAATTAATCTCTAGGATTAGGACAACCATGTGATTGCTGCTGTGCTGCAAACAACATTCATTTGAATGTTCTGAATCTGAACACAATGCTCTTCGTGAAGACAATCATTCAATACTCCCCTTCTTTACCCAGGCATAAAGAAGCCCCCGTACTGGAGTTAATGGTCAACCTTTTGCGTCCAAAATATTGCAAAAGTGGTTAGGTTCATTTACAGTAATTCATTGGCTCATGCTTTTATCCAGAGAGACCTATAATTGCAAACATTTATAGAGCTGGGTACTTTCCTACAGTTGATCAATTTGGGTGAAGTATCTTGCTCAAGGGCACAGCGGCAGTGTCTGACTTGGGACTTGAACCCGCAGCCTTCCGGTCAAGAGTCTGGAACCCTAGCCACTGCTCCATACTGCTGCCCTGAGTTTAAGGTCTCACTCATAGGGCAGCACTGTCTTCCCTCGTTACCTTACTGAGACATTTTTGAAACTTCAGGTACAGAGGAAGTAACGGCACCTACTCTTCCACCAACACCAAGCATCAACCTGGATTTCCTTAGGCTTCCCATTCCAGGTTGAGGCTGTATGCTAAATTAATCAGCTTCATGACTGGGAACGAAGACACCACAAATACTGTTTACCAGTATGTTACTTTCTGTTTCTGTTTTGAGTGAAACAGCAACTGAAGTCCAAGAAATCAAATCAACACTGCTTTACATATCTCCTCAATCTTTGAAATGAAAAAAATGACATCCATTTTATATTAGTTTCATAATATTCTAGTACATAACACTTTCACTGAAAGACAAACATTTTTACACTTAATTTTCCAACACAAATGTTGTACCTGAAAAACCTTTTTGTTTTAATGGTACAGTAGTATTTAGTTTTACTTTTTATAACTGAAATGATGATCCATATTATCATTATTAGCTGCTAAGGATGAAGTAAAAGATACATACACATTGCTATCAACATTAGAAGCCGATGTCTTTCATAGCAACATGCATATTGCTTTATCATAAAAACACTGTCAGGGGAAAAAAGTTTAGAAATTCTTCAGATTCGATAAAGTAAGTTGGTGTGGAAAAAGCCCTTTATTTGATAGCAACCTCAAAAGAACTGGGCTTCAAGGAACAGCAGTAAATAGCCACTCAGCCACTTCAGAAGTCACCTGAAGAAATTTGTTTTAACAGTGTCAAATCAGCTTAGTGTTGTCTCCCATCTGGGAACGATCAAAGGTCTGCCAAATCCTCATACTAGATTTCTCCCACAGGTTGGATGGCCTGCAGTGGCTCAGTAAAAACACCCATAGTCCTTCAGTGCTCACAGCCTAGCCTGACAAACCACCAATAGCCCACAGGTCTCCTCCCCTCAATAATAGCTGCATACTGCACCTGTCTTTCAGGAAACCCATCAAGATAATATAATAAACACACGAGCTCCTGTGAAACGTCCTCCTTTGTCCACATGAACTTGTTACTAACTTATAAATTCTATTAAAAGTTCTCAGTGCAGTTTTTTTTCAGGCTCAAAAATATATATCTTACACTGCTCACTAAGTGGTCCTTTGAATGTTTTAATTACCCCCTCAAGAATTATTTGGTCTCATCACAAGTTAAATCAAACAAATCACGCGGTCCACAGTCATCTTGCGTCTGCCGGATGCTGCAAAAACAACTGCGGCAGATTTCAACTGGACTGCTTTTTCTAACGTCAATCAACTCCAGAAAAAGTCCAAACAAGCTCTCCTGCAGAAAAATGATTGCTTTTAAAGCTTTGTGTCACCTGCTTAGAAAGAGGTGAAACTTTTTTTTTTTTACCCTTTGGGTCTTTCAGCTACACACCTTCACTAGTGCACGCATACTGCCAGGGTAGGGCTGGCTTCGCACCAGTGAAAACCAAGCCAAGGCACATTGCTGAGACACTCGAGCTCTGCATCGCACCTGAGTCCAGCTCCGAGCTGAAGCTGGTTTCACACGTGTGGTTGTTCCTGCCGGAGAAACGCACTGGCAGCAGGGAGAGGTTTCGCAATCTTGTCATCAATGCCAAATTCAAAAACGATGTTGTTGGGTTTTCCTGGTGCAAAAAACCCGACCCAAGATTAACGATAAGTTATTCTAATTTTCTTAAGATTCACTTTATTATTATATAGTTACCATCACCGTCACAGCACGTAGGGTGTGCCGTTTAAAAATAGCTGGGGTGGCACATGTCAGTGTGAAATATTCTATAAACTGCAGTCACTAAAACATTTCTAAAGGTATTAGCTACTGCACTAGTAATGCAGAAAAATTAGACATTTAATTTACGGACAAAAATTTCTCATTACAAGAATAAACCTCATAACCAAGCCACTTCCTTTCCAAAGTCAACACAAACCACAGTATGCAAAGATTTTGTTTTCTCAAGTGAACAGCAACTGCACAGTACAAAAACCCAATCAAGCTAATCTTAGTTAAACACTTCCTTCTCCAGCTCATACAATCAGCCCTTGTTTTAGGATCTGAGTAATACCTGAAGCTAGCATCACAAACTGGCCTCAAAATATCAGAGGTTTAAGCCATTCTATGTTAAAAGTGTTCAGAAAGTACAGTAAACACTTGGATTGAAACCCAGGTTTTTCTTTGGTGTCTCAAGCCTCACCAATAACTGTAAAAATATTAATAATTTAGCTCCTTGTGCGTCTATTTAGGACTATCCCAAGTAACGCATAATACAGGAATGCAAATAGATAATGATTTTTGGCTTTTTAGAAACTCTCTTCATGGAACTCCTTGGCAAGTATGATCTCTTAACATTTAAATAATAGTTGGGTTAATAAGGGGTTTCAATTTATAGTTATTGTTGTTTTTTATGAATAAGGCCATATTTTCATTTAAAAAAAGAAAAGTCTGACTTGTAACTTCTTGTATTTGTGCTTTCAGCTTAGGCCCGCCATTACACATTTTTAGGACAATAAAAGGCAGAACTGGTCAGACCAGGAAGAAAAACATACATCTTTCAGGGAACAACCAAAAACCAGGTGTAATTTATTTCACAGGCAGCCACGCCATAGCAATTCTCGAATAGTTTCAGTCAGTGCAACAAACAAAGCCAGTCTCCGTGCCAAAGCTGAAACCATCTCTCCCAAACCAGATTAATTTTAAGCTTCTTTCTTTGTTTTCATTAAAGTAAAATTAATTTAAAAACACAACTCTGCTAAACAGAAAATAAACTGCAAAGGGCCATAACTTCAGGTCAACATAATATAAAATCAAAAACTCTTTTTCCCCAATTCTTTTCAAAATTGACTTAACAGTAGAGGAAAGATAAGCACTCACCTGGTTCTAGTTTGATTATTTTGACTGCTGCCAGCTCTCCAGTCTGTATGTTTCGTGCCTGCAAGAACAGATACAGACACATTCATGAACTGGTATTCTCAGTAACAGTTTTTTGCCATGTGTGTTTTGCTTGACTATGAACTTGGCTTCACATCCAGTATGTACTTATCTCTTTAGAAATTCAGAGTGAGGAACTGTGCCAGTATTTGAGCCGCAAAGGAACAAGTAAAAAACTGTTTTGGCTTTGTAGCCTGCTTCAGATGTGTGGGGCAAAGAGAGAGGGTAAAGATGACAAAGAGAAATAGGAGAATGAGTAAGAGAAGGTGAGGTAGGGAGTCCAAAGAGACTGAAATATGAGGAGATGGAAGCAAACACAGTTTAAAGTGCAAATCAAGACAGCAAAGAGTTCAGGTCTGAAATCTACAAAAACAACACTGTTTTAACAAAATTGCCCCAAAGAGGACTGTATTCTTAAAACACCAAAAACTATTTTCCCATACTTTAACCTTTTATGCTGACCACACCTTATACTGTATCTCCACATGTTACATTACTCCACTCAAACACATGCCCTCCCCCGTCCAAGTTCTTTAAAACTAGCCTGGTCCGAAACTGCAAGCAAACAGGAAGTCCAGCGAAAGGTTAGTAGTCAAGTCCTCTTTCTGCATTTTTAGTTATATACAGTGCTTCTTGTCAGTTCCACTATTCTATTCAATACTATAAAAATGCAGCATTTTTTTTATCTCCTCACCACTTCACACTGCCATTTCAGACATTTTAATGTTTCAAAAAGTACCAAAAAAAGTACAAAAGTCAAAAGAAAGGGAAAAAAAAGAGAGGGTCATTCAGCCCTTCCAGCATATTCAGCTGTAATAATTAATTGATCAGAGGATTTCTTGAAAAGGGCCAAAGTATCATCTTCAACAACACAGCTGGGTTCCTTGTTCCAGTCACCCACATCTATTTGCACAGTGTCCTGTTTTCAATTTTAATGGTTTTCATCTAATGTGCATAAAAATAAGAAATGATTTGCTGCTTTATACATCAACATATAGAATATAAATCGGCTAAATGCACATCTTAACGACGTTTGCGTTTCTATTACTGTTCCAAGGTTGTCCAGAGATCCCTCATCATAAACTTCCCAGTCTTCGTAACAGCCTCTTCACAGTCAATGTTTCCCTGCAGTCAATCTCTTTATCTACATGATAAGATGTTAACTGCCACATCTGTGCTTTATGATTCTCCTACCTGCTCGTAAAACTCTGCATACCCCTACTTTAAAAGTCATCTGCCAGGTGTTTGCCCAGTATTTTTGAAAGAATTTGCTGAACTTTCTTGGCAGCTTCTGCAGTGTTCGCAAATCTTCCTAATTTGGTATGAGCTGCAAACCTGACTAGTTTGCTTAACACACCAGCATTTAAGACCAGTCGTTTCCAACATTTTTTGGTATACAGACCCCTTTCCAATTGTTTTTTTTATTCTCCTCCATATATGGAAATTTAAGAAAATTATAGTACAGAAATGATGTGAATATCTTAATACCTCAACAAATATATTTGTCAAGCACAGCACTCTGTGTATGTGAGTAACAATGAGATGGTTGGTTTCACAGGTTGGAAAGATGACAGTTTTAGCTGTAAATCTGATTCCAAATCACATTTTATTTTTCCACAGATTCCCTCTAGTAGTTTTGCAGGCCACCAGGGGATCATTAACAGAATTTAAGAAAAACCTGTGGTACTCCACTACCTTCATCATCATAATCCGAGCATTCATCCTTTATCTGTACTCTTTAATTTTATCTATCAACCAGTTTTGAATCTAAACACATGCATATACTGAATGCCCCACTCTCCAAAATTTGAGTATTCATCTTTTAAGAAGAACCTTCTGAGTGTCTAACTGAATCACGCCATCAGCTTTGTTTTTATTCACTACGCATTTTGCTTATTCAAATTTGCTCATTTAAAATAGAACAAGTCGCTTAAACAGGATCTGCCTTTCCCAAATCTTTGTTTTTCCCCCCAACAGTCAGTGTATGCCAGTTACAAAGAATGTGAACACCAGAACTATTAACAGCAGGCACACCTTGTCAAAAAGCCTCCCTTATCCTGAAAATGCTACAATTTAAATTTGCCACTTTCCAACACACCTGTCCTTAGATAGGGGATTACTAGAAAAATGAAATTTCAAATTTAATTAATTGTGTATCGGGACTTTAGGCCACTATGTGAACATGGACGTTAGTGGTTGAGTGTGGGGTTTCATCAGTGTGTGTTGGCTGCACAGGAAAAAAAAACAGGTTCGTTCCAAACAGTAAAGTACAAAGAAATAAGAAAACAAGGGTTTTGGCTGTGGATTGACTAATTTCTCTTGAAAGCTCTCCATTCATTCACAGATTTCAGCCTTTCACTCCTCTCCCGATTACCATCTCTTAGGACCTCCTTTCCCAACTCCTGTGCCCATTCTCACACTTTCTTTACTTTCCTCACCCACCCCTCCCATACAGATACAGAAGGCCCCACAGCTGAAACCCGTATTCGTCTTTCTTTCAGCTTTTCAACGTCCCCTATTTAGAGAGCTCTGCTTACAGTAGCCATGCAAACAGCATGCTGAACCCAATGACAATGCACAAGACTGTTGCACCAATAGGCCAGGAGAACAAAACTCAAAGCTGGCCTTGTGCCACAAACACACATAGAGTATCACAAAGCAGGCTAGTACCACCTAAAAACTCCTAGGCAATGTGTGTACTTCATCCAGGACAGAATGCGAAATGTAACGAATAATCTGCTGTTAATTAGTGTGTCAAATTTAGAGGCAACACGGGGCAGTTCTGTTCAATATGAAGTGTTCAGATCTGCAAATCCAGTATGTGGCAAAAGAGACTCCTCTATTTGGCATTGCGCTACAAGCGCGTATGAGGAGACTGAAAATCTACTAGACCCTAATACTCCGCAGGGAAGACATTCTGTACATTTAACGAAGTCTGGAGAGACTACAGCTGGTAATCTGGGGCTGGTTAAGGTGAGCTAGCCACGTACAGTGGATATAAAACAAGTCTACACGCCCTTATTGAAATTGCAGGTATTTGTGATGTAAAGCCAGAAATCAAGATAAATCATATCAGACATGTTTCCATCTTTAATGTGACCTTGCAACCGACAAAAGTCAAGAGAAAAACAGATAATTATTAGGAAAAATAATTGAAATAAAAAAAATCTACAATATCCTGGTTGCATAAGTGTGCACACCCTTTTATGTCCAAAGGTCCAAAGCCTGGCTTTTGTAGGTACCAGTAGTGGGTAATTTAATTAACAAGAAATTGTCTCCTGCCAGTTCCCAGAACAACCAGAAACATCCTGCTAATCAAACCAATGTACTGTAAATGTGTATAGTGTATGATCACTAACAAACATGGTTGCAAGAAAAACAATGCAAACTGCATTCATTCCGAGTATGACTAATGATATAACATCTTCCCCTATACCAAGTTTCTTCAGAAACAGCCATGGATGTTTACTCCCAGTTCCCTTGATCAGTATGTAAGGATTTCTCATAAAGGCAATATTTTAAATGTTTTAAATGTCTCCTTGTTGATGTTCCAGCTGAGCTCTAGATTATTTAATTGAAGCGCACATGTAGCTCATCATTTACTAATTAGACATTTGAATTGTTTTAAATTAACCTCTAAATATTCCCAAATTACTGTAAAAACTATCTTGAGAATAGCTGCAATCAATGACGTTATTAGTTCAATAAAGCGTTCACTTACACAGCCAAGAGCCCAGCTAGAATAAAAAGCAATAAAGTTATACTATGCCAATGATACGCAATAAAAGTCCATTCACTTACACCAGGTCTGTTCAGTCCTAGTCCTGGGGGCCTATGTGCCTGAAAGGTGTTCCTTGTAAGATATAAACTGTTCTTTCACTGGTCAAACTGGGCAACAAGTAAAGGCAAAACGGCTGTCATTGGACACCAACTTTGACTTTATTTATGTAAAAGACAGCATTAGAAGTCTCTTTGGAAGGTTCACTGTTGTGAAATAGCAATATCTAATTAATTTTACATTCTGAAACTCATAGATTGCATGCTTCTAAGATCTTAAAACTTTTTATTAGTAAGATACTAGATATAAAATATACTTGGCTTTCTGAGACATATAAAGCAATAATGAAGCTCTCTTTGGCTGAATCACATTACTTCATCTGTATGGCATGACTAATTTGCTGACAACCCACTTAAAAAAAGACTTATTCTGAATCATACTATACTTGGGTGAAGTTTTAACCTTCATAATATAAATAAGTCAGCAATACTTTTCCTCTTGCTCCTGATCTCTTTCACAGTCAATCTTACTGTAAAACTGAGCGCACTGACGTCAGCCCATCAGGCCAATACAAGCAGTCTGTCTCAAACCAGCCTAACAGAGAGGTACTTTACAGGACAATACAAACATCTCTTCAGAGAAACAAGGATCTGCGTTTTTAAGCCCCAGTTAGCCTGATAAAATAGCTAAAAAGCCACAAGATTTATGCTAAACAAGCCATAGGATGATCATCGGGGAAAACCCTTGATTACCTTAATCAAAGTATTGTGCCAGGCAAGTATAAGCATCAAAAGAGCATAGTAGTTATGGGGAAGACCACATTGGGCTCAAGTTTGCTTTTTAACCTACAATGTTTTGTTTTTTTAAAGAACATAAGAAAGGTTAAAGACCACTCAGCACATTTCAGCTCATTTGGTTGCTAGGAGTTAAATGATCGAAGAATCGCACCCAGCTATTCCACAGAAACACATTTTTCCTTCTTTGAAAGAGGCCAGCATGCCGTCTTCAACAATATAACTGGACAGCTTGTTCCAGATCTTCGTAGCTTTGGGTGTAAAAAAGTACATTCTGTTCCGAGTTATAAATATTCATCCAGGTAGTTCCTGTTTAGAAATAAATGAGAAAAATCGAAGAGACCAATTTATGATAGTTAATGATTTTTTATTTATGACATTATGAAGAATTTATGAGTGGTGGTCTTCAAAAACCTCCTAAACAAAACC